TTTGATTTGCATTAATATTCTTCACATTATTCATGAATTTTATTTACATTTCTATTTTCTTTGCGTTTTTATTGAATTTGAATCTAAAACTAAGTTAAGTTTCTAGCGAAAATTGTTTTATAGATTTTTATGAGTGGAAATTGAATTTTTTTATTTACAGTTTTTAAGTATTTATTTAACTCAATGTATGGATGTTTCGTTTAGTGTTAAGTATGACGAGAATACTTGTAAATTNNNNAGATGTATACATTATGTTTTAATATATTATAAGCTAATAATATAATATAATATAATATAATATAATATAATAATATTGTTTTAAAATAAGATTAAATTTTACTATTTTTCAAATAATTTTATTAAAACTTATTAACAAAAAATCTTTTAATTGCTATCTTTAATTTATCTTGATATAATAAGTGATGAAAATGTTTAGATTTTAATTCATTTCCACTTCCTCTTTTACTAAAAAATAATTGAAAGGTTTAGCTCATTTTTTAAAGCAGTATTTATAATTAAAAGAATTTTTTATAGTTTACTGAATCATTCTTTTTCATAATACATTACATAAAAATGTAATTCTATGTTTTTTCAATTCTAATATTTGAACCGCAAAATTATGTTTATAAATGTGTAGAAAAATCATGCATTAAAGGGTTTCACAATATTTCGAAAAAATAGTGGAAGAGTTTTTCCAGTGTTAATTTTAAAATTCTTTATCTAATTCCTGAAATAAAGTATAATTAAATTAAATATTCTATTTTAATTCAATTTATTTTCTTTTCGAAATAAGAGAGTATAAAAAATTATAACAAATTAAGAAGAAATGATTATTTTATTTTCATGGCTAAAGCACTAACAAGACATTAAGATCCTTTAAGGATCTCCAATAGTTTTAATAAATAATTCATTAAGAAGAATTTGTGAAAACCCACTTCTCAAAGCTCCTAATTTTGAAAAATTGTTTAAAAAAATATTATTATTATTTTAAGGGTTAAAATTAGTAATAGAATGATATGAAAGATATTTTTTTTATTTAGGCGTGCATGGTAGCAAAACCAGTATTGCAGTACAAATTTATCTTGCATGACTCTTGTCATTTTTAATACTTGTAGTATAATGAGTATTAAATATTTATAAATTAAGGATTTTTTGTTATTTCTTTGTCCTCTCTTGTTTAATTTTTTAGGTTTGAATATTTAATGATTTGAAGATAGAATTGTAAATGTATTTTGTATCTAAACTTGTATTGTATGTTAGGGATTAATTCGTTTATTTTAATAAGCAGCGTGAAATTAGCTTTATTAATGTTATATTATATAAATTATAATTTGATAATTAACAGTGAAACAAAATTTAATGAAACTGCTGTTCTAATTATAAAAAACTAGCTGAATACTCTCTTTTTGTAGGGGATAAATAAAAAAAAGGAAAATCTATGGTAATAAGGCACACGGTTTACATGTATGTATTTACTGTGAGCAAATTTAAAGTTCTGAACCGCTCCGCACCGAATTTTGTGCAAATACTGAGAAAGAGATAGCGGATCAGTCTACTTTAAATGTACCTTCAAACAATGGTTCACGTTACATCACAGAGAAATTTTTTTCAATCTTTTAGAATCAGGCAATTTGCTAGCTTGCAGTTCTAATTAATCGAAAATTAGCTTTATTGCACGTTCTTATGAATTACTAGGAGATCTATTATATTAATGACAATTAATTTACTAAACAACACTGGAAAATCAATTTTTGTAGCATTTATACAAATACCTGATCTTGCTTAAATTGGGAGTCGAGATTTTATATCTGATATTAGTTTTAAGGCTAGAGGTTTTATTTAAATGATATTTTCAGTTTATTCTTTGTCGAAATCAGCAAGTTTAAAAACGTTATATATAACAAGATTTCCCGTTAATGTTGCGATAAACTTCTAGGGGGTTAAGGTACATAAACAGGGTTAAAATAGCATAGAAACCCATGTCCAGAAATGTCGTCGTAAGCGGCTCGGAGCGTTTCCATATTATGATCTGTGCAAAAGCATATAAAAAAGCAGATCATAATGGAGTGTTGCACCTAGCGGCGTATGACGGCATTTCAAGGAATGATTTGCTATGCAATTTTAACCCTGATAATTTGCCCTAACTCCCCTAAAAGATTACACAACATTTACAACATTTATGAAACTCGCTTTTAACTTGCAACGTTTTCGAAATTTTATATTTCAACAAAGATAGACTAAAAAGGACTCATTAAAAAAACTTTAGCTTGCCGAGAAAAATCAAGTACAGATTTAAAAATAACGATAAAAAGATATCTAAGATCTGTTTAGTAAACTTATGCAACCGCAAAAAATCGCTCTCCTGTGCTATTTATCTTTGGTTTCATATGTTAGGCTATCATGAGTAAAATCAACGTTTAATTTCACGATGCATGGTCATGACGTCACTGAATTCCTTTTTAAAAATATTTCGTATTTCAAAATAAATAATTTTAACATTGGTATTCCCCATCTATCCTAAAAAAACAAACAAACCCTATCGGAAGTCCTGAGGTCCTCTTCTGACATCAAAGCATTAAAGATACTATTTCTTTTTTTGACTCTCCGGATATGTTTATATATCCTCGGAATATTTAGTTTTTCTTAACTTAATTTTTGTACCGCGTTTTTGAGAAAAAATGTGTTCTTCATATTTTGAAATATCATATAAAGATATAAAATAAAGTACTTTAGAATATTATCCTAAATTAATATGCAATTACATGATAGTTAAGATGGGGATTTACGCAATTTGGTTTACACCAGCAGAAATTATTGTACCTGAATCTTATACCGGAAGTTGAAACAACCTCTACAAATACTACCTTCTACCGTGGAGAGCATGAAACATGGTCGAGAATAATGTGAATATGAAACCACGTGTTTCTATACCAGTGATTTTAAAGTGTGACTCTATAAACTTAAATGATAGTAACTCAAGAAGAACTAATGAAATAGAATTGAAGTTATTTTTTAAGTCATAAAAAATATCGTAAACTCGAATATCACATTTTAAATTATATTTCATGTTTAGATAAACTTTCTTTTAGTTGAACTTTGATGATAGTGAATCTAATATTATCAAGTTGCACCGGAATATATAACAAATAATAAATAAAAGTAAATAAATGTTGTATATTGGTGTAATGAATGTGTAAGATGGTGATATAAGGATACTTATAAATTTCGGAGTGTGGCAAAAAGTCTAATACCTATTTTATACTACTGTACCTATTTAATACACCTTGGTGTAATAGGTTTGCATTACCACTGTACTTATAACAATACCAAAACTATTGATTACTATATTTTGTTAAGCATTAGTGGCATCAATTATAGTTAGGCGGTTTTTTACGACGCTCAAAATAAGTACTCATATTAAGTTGTTCGTTAAAACTGATTATAAAAATATTACTGTCGTTATTAATTATTTTCTGCAATTTCAATAAATTAATATTTTTAATACGTACATATTGAAATATAAAAAAAATATATTAAAATGCTAAATTAATGGAGAAGGGGTACTTATTCGTACAGATAAACTGTAAAAAATTGCTATATTGCTATTGACACCAATGATGCTTAATTTTCGAAATAGCTGCAAACTAAAATGAAAAAAAAAGTTTTTTACTAAAAAGCTAAATTAATTGAGGAAAGGTACTTATTCATCTAGGAAAGTCATAAAAAATCGCCTAATTATTTTTGACGCCAATATTGCTTGTTAATTTTAGTATCATAATATGTACTACTGCTACTACGTTAATTGAGGTTTTTAATAAATACCAAATATACTGTGATTGGTATCGAAATACCTCCGTGGAAGCAAATTTTTACGGCCCACTAAAAGGGATATGTGCAGGAGAATATTGCTGATTATGGTAATTTTTGACCTTCAGGGAGTTTGACCTTCGGACAATACCTTTATGCCAAATCATTGTGAAGGTAATTTTTATTTCGATGGGGTAAACTTATCAAAATATGTAAAGTGAAAAGTTTTAATTGCTACAATTTAATTAATTGTGTCAGTATATGTTTTTCAGTTCTGTGCATGATTTAGCTAATTTATTGTATGCTAATTTATTGATCATTTACTTTTTCTCGCCCTTTGCGAATAGCACGTATTCAGCTAGTAATCAATAAATCTCAGAAATCATGCACAAAATTTAAAGACTAGCATAATTAATAAATCTAAAATGATTTTTATTTATTTATTATTATTTGTTGCCAGCTTTTACAATATTAAATGAAGTAAAACACGTATTTCAGCTCATCCCAAGAGAATAGTGATTAAATGTATTCAGCATCACATAGCATGATGCTACTGCTTTCAGCAAATTCGTGATAGTCAAAATTTACCACTAAAATTTTCTCCGGTAAATACTTCTTTCGACATTGCTGTTTCAATAAGTACCATTTATATTAGTTTATTACTTTATATCTGTATTAGTACATTCGATACCTATTACATAACGCTTCAATATTTGACTTTTGTGCAAACTAAATCTGGAATTTAAAAAAAATAATGTTTATAAGACCTGGATAAGGACTTTCGAGTGTGACCACTTCTCTATTAGACTTTTCATATACTGTTTGAAATTCGCGAAGAATTCGCTATAGAAATCTTATTGAAACTACCCCGATTACCATAATATCAGTAATGCATTTATCAAAATTAATAAAGCGTCTCTTGCTTAATTAATTTTGGTAAGGATTGTAGGTAAGGATTAATTTTGGTAGGATTGTGGTTTCTCTAAGAGAATAAGGGCACAAAATGGAAGGATAATGAAATATAGTTGCGTTTATTAAAAAAAATCTATTTGCAGCTCACAATAAGTTCACTAACTCAAAATAATGTTTAATGCATAAAAACCTAATTTGACAGCTAAAGGTAGGAGTGAAAAATTCAGATTTTATTGACTCAAATATTTTCTGTCCGACTTATCAGTTGAAGTTTGACTTACCATTTTGTAAAGTATCAACAATAAGCTCTTCACAAGGGGGGCCTGATCCTTTTCCATTAAAAGCTTGTACAATTATGCTGTACTTTGTGGCTCTCCGAAGATTTGTCAAAATAATTTCTTCTTTAAAATCTCCTTGTACTTCAACTGTTTGATAAATATAGTTCTCAGCTCCTCCGTAGGGTTTGTATCCGACATAATATCCTTTGACGTTTCCATGTCTTAGCTCTTTTTTAGGAGGCTGAAACGCAAAATATTGTTTGATAAACTAGGCTATTTATACACATTTTTTTAATATTATATTTATAAGAATACACATGAAGCACCTGGAGCAATAAAATGACAGTTCACATTTTCTGATTCTGTACAACTTTTAATTTTACAGAGTCTAAAGGAAATGTTTTCCCTTCTACGATTAATGCGGCCATCATCTGAAAATTTCTTAAAATGATAAAAAAATTCCAATGGGAGGCTTTTTACATGGAAGTGGGTAAAAGTTAAGGTTTGCAAGTGGTAAAAAAAAGACCCTCATTGGGGAACTATTTCATCCTGTTTGTTACGCCTTTCTAAATTGAACATTTCTTATCGAGTTTATTTCTAGTTACAAATACACAATTTATAAATTCGGGCATTTATAAGCACATAAGTTCAAGTTTAAAGCCCATTCTTTAAATAAATGTAAAATCTCACTTACCTTTTCACCAACAAATGGCCTTAAAAGTTAAAATAATTAATCAAATTAATATTAATTAATTAACTAAAGGAATTTCTTTTTATAAATCAATCTCAATTTCTAAAATATTTCAACGTAACATTACTAGAAAAAATTGCCTTATAAATGTTAAGAGCATTTTTGGGGACAGGATTTTCATAGATAAAAAATAATTTTTTAGATGTTTCAATTATGAAAGAAAGTAAATATCGATTTAAAATTTTCAATATCACAATGCTGAGTTGCAGTGACTTTTGGGATAGAGTGTATTTGTCTTCTAATGAGGTGACTCAGGTTTATAACTCCGAGGTAGCTGCGTTGATACGAATTCTGGTTCACCTGGTTCACCACAGTGCTGATGTAAAATATTCTCTGTGATAGACTGATGATGGGTTAGAATCCTCTTGCCGTCGGGCTAACCGTGGGAGGTTTTCACGATTTTTCTCTTCATATAATACAAATGCGGTTAGTTGCTTCAAAAATTCCACCCCGAAGGCTAGTTTGTTCTGATGCTTGACCCAGGAGTTACCTTGCCTTCTGGATTAGGTTTTAAATTACAAGGCTACGGATTGACTTACGGAAACCGTGAACTTATATCTTTATATATAAGAAGAGAGTGGAATGATAACACATAGCCAATTACAGAAGACTTCCGGTTAGTAACGCACAAAACAGCCAATCAAAATTGCGAACGCATGTATGTGAAAAGGTAAAAATTTTTAATAAGGCTGTCAAAAAAATACAAAATACAAACTGATTTCAAATAAAACTCAGAAGACTTCGAATCCAATAATTAAGAAAACTCTACTATTACGTTTATAAAAAGGAAGATTTATTAACTCAACAACAAAATTATAAAGTAACATCTCCAGGAAAACAACTTTAAGTTCGTTCGCGAAGCGAACGAAAATGTAATTGCGCAGCAATTATCGGGGATTGGCGAGTGGTAGTGAGCAGGGGGCGGGTCCCTCTAGTATATATNTATACTTAGATCTATTTTTTTGCTTTAAATTAAAATTGACATATTATTTTTAAATATGCATTTAATTTTCAACGCTTTGCTGGTTTATTAGCTATAAAGATCGAGCTATAAAGATATTTCATAATTTTAAAATTTTATTTTTGAAATTGAAATTATTGAGTAATTTTTAACTACAACACCTATAACCTATTACAAAATTGTATAGCATTGTGGTTTTATTTTATATTATTACGTGTACTAAAATCTCCAAAGGCTGAGTGACTAAGTACGTTTTTCATATATTTATTCTCCGTTCACCTCATAATAATTTATTTAACAAAAGTTAATTAAATCAGGTTATTCGAAAATATTAATTAAACTATAAAAGTAATTAAATTTGTTTTCAAGGAAATTTTTTTTCACTTACTTTTAAAAGAAAATTTAATGAACTTCATTGTAAAAATGCATCTGTTGAATTCTATGAGCTTAATTAATAAAGGAAGGATTAAAAATTTCATATCTCTATAAGTTATTCTCTATAAGTTTTTCTCATATTCTCTATAAGTTTTTCTCTTATTCTATTTAATATTCTTTTAATTTTTAGTTTTTTAGCACTTTTTAAGAAATAAATTAAGACTTCAAGGAAAAAAAAACTTTTGAAGATTAAATGCTAGTTATCATAAAGTATTCAAAATGATATAATTCTAAAATTCGTTCGATTTTTAATTTCTCTTAACCATAATTGAAAAAGCATTAAATTTTAACTTAAAGTTCTAAATAGCGACCATTAGTTTTGAAATGAGATAGGTTATGAATTTGTACCTCAAATATTGAACTAACTCAGCTAGAAAAAAAAAGTTACTTATCAACACTTTACAGTGGTAATTACCAACCGAGTAATAAATTAAGCGTTCGTTATTTCTCCTCACGTTCGCACATTTCTCATCGAGACAGCCTGTAAAATATTCATTTCTCTATCATAAATAATTTATATACTTAAAACGCTTTACATTCGTAATAGAGAGATAACGTGAAGTAAATGTAATTGCAGTTATTTTCGCCCAGTTGTATTTCAACTTTTAACCATAAATTCTGTTTTATATTGCTCAAAAATGTCCATTTTAAAGGAATTTTAATTAATTGATTTTCAAATTATAATAAATGGGAAAAAAATTAATGCACAAAGTTTCTCGTTTTTCAAAGAGATAAAAGAGAGAAGTAAATGGATAATTTAAGCATGCACTTAGAAAGTTCCTTTTTCGCTAAAAATGTGGATTGGTTATTATGCAAAAATACCATACTTTTGACGTTTTATGAAAGAAAAGCTGAAATATATATAAAAAAACGAATAAAAATGAATACGATATAAATCAAATGGATGCAAACTATAATTTTTAAAAAAAGTATTAAGTGAGGCAGAATCATGACGAAGAAAATAATTCTTTTTGTATTTGTTCTGTGCTTTTCTTGGTGTTACTATAGTTGGATAAGTAAACATACTTAATATAGTGCGGGTTCTTGAACTCTAAATTTGAAAATGTCGGATTTCTACACAGTTCTAAGAATTTTTTGCTTTAAGTTTTTTTTTGTAATTTCTTAATTTTTATTTCCTTTTTTAAATTTTTATCATTCCATAAAAATATATTTTTGGCAAATAAAATATAATTCAAAACGATGTAAAATACTACTTCTAAGAAAAATATTAAGAAAGTTAAAAAAAAAAAATTGAAAAATCCAAAAAAGAATTTTTTGCATTCGATTCGTTCTGTACATTGCCTACGTTTTTTCTTTTCTTTTACGACTGCTGTTTGATGGGTAAATTAGAGATAATAAAAGTACGAGATTTAAACAATGTCGAATGATTTTAAATCAATTTCGAATGATTTTAAAAGTATTTTTTGCTTTATTTTTCTGTTGCTATTTTTGATTTTGATTTTATTTCATTTTTTTAATCATTCAAAAAGGAACATATCTTTGACACGTACAATATATATCGAATTGACACGAAATACTGCTTTTAGAAAAGTATTTAGAAAGGCAAAATAATAATGATGAATAATCGAAAAATTATTTTTATTATTTCTACTGTACTTAGAGTGCTTTATTGTGGTGCAACTGCTGTTTGATAAGTAAATTAAAAACACAAAAAGTTCGGGTTTTTGAACTCAGAGTGTAAAAATTTCGAATTGTAACGCGATTTTAAAAGTATTTAGTTTCTCATTTCTATTTACCTTCAGTATTGAACAGCTGACTCATAAGACAAGAGGATATAGGAGGAACAAGCATAAGTGGCAAAATCGCTTTCATGGAGAAATTTTGGGGCACTTGCGTTAAATGGAGACAAAAAACATGAAACCTTTCTATTGTTTACTGGATGATAAGGGAACTTTAACATAAGATCTGTACGTTACTGTGGATATTTCAAGGTTAGGATTAATCTAAGTGCAAGTATTTACATGCAAGTATTTACATGTAATTGCAAGTATTTACATGCAGTTCCTGGGTAAATTATGAGACTCACTTTAAGATTCTATGTGAAATTTTAATTATTATGTAATCCTATACAGCATTATTGTTTTTACGTGGCTGAAACCGGTATGCACTTGTTTACGTTTGCATATCAATTGATTAAAATTGCAATGCAATACGTTAAAAATAAATACAAATAGGAAGTGCATAAAATATCTCCTGTACATCTATGTTTAAACATAAAAATATTGCATATAAACTCGTGTAAAACATGTAATGATTAAAAAATTTCAGTGCGTCTAATAATTAGGTCTAATTATTATAATATATTAATGTAATACTCGATATAATAAGTATTCTATATTTATACAATATATCGTCTAATTTATCCAATCGTCGAATTTATATTGTGTATCGTTTAATTTAACCAATTGATACACGAACGTAAATAAGTGCAAACAGGTTTCAGTCACGTAAGAACAATAAAGCTACATAGTATCCCCTGATAATTAAGATTTTTACATAGAATCTTATAGTGCGTCAAATATTTAGTCAGGGACTGTAACTTACTGATGCTAAGATTTGTATCTACACTACCGGTCAAAAGTTTGCGAAAATTTTGAAATCTACAAAAAAAAGGTCTAAATTCAAATGTTCATAGAACTACGAAAAATCATTCAAATTGCATGANAAACTTTTGACCGGTAGTGTATGTTACCGCATTTGGAGCTTTATTAAATAATTTATCAAAAAAATTTGTCTATCAAGCTTTTGTTGCAATATTTTTTGTCGAAATTTGTTTAATAACTAAAAATCAGTTGACAATTTCATTTAAATTTCACTATTGAGCACAAATCTGCTTAAAAAATTATAATAAATGTTAAATTATAAAAAAATATATAAAAATGTGTAAAATAATAAATGTCAGATAAAAATATTTCGTAAAATTTGATACATTTTTTATTATTTAAAAATTTCCTTAATCTGCTGACATATTTCAACATTTTACTTCATTTTTTTATAATTAATGATTCACTTCATTTGTTTTGAATTATTATTTATTTTTAAATTTATCTTCGAATTATTATATACAAAAATGTGATTTTTTTTATCCATCTGACTTGAATTTTGTTTTTCATTGGAAAACGATAATCTGCAAATTGGAGACATAAAAAGGATAAAAGTTGAATTATTACCTTTTTGTTGATAATTTATAATGCGTTATTATAAAATAATAATACTAAAATTTATAATAAATTGAAATAAAAGAGTTTAAAAATTTGAAACTCTGCATTATTTAAATCATATTTTTTGCGTTAAAATCCATAAAAAGTAGAAAAAATAATAGTTATGAAAAAAAGAAATGAATGAAAGAAATAACGTAATTAATGATTAACTGGAAAATAACATACTTATTCAAAATATAAAGTTAGTACAGTTGAATAGAGGGGTCTTAAATACCCATATTTTTAAAATGATTAAAGATTAGCAAAAATGATAAAAAACAGAAAAAAAAATCTATTCAGTTTTTATCAGTTTTAATCAAACAATATTTCCCTCTTTTTTTACGTAACGGACGTCTTAATCTTTAGTTAATTTCGTTCCCCACATTTTATAGTTTTACGCTTTCAATGGTTATTCATGCAGCACAAATGTGTTTTTTTCGTTCTTTCAACATTCTCGGAACCACTATTTTATAAAAAGTGTCTTTGATGCAACTTGATAAAAATAACATTGCGTATGGTTGGGGTATTAAGCTGGTCATGTTATGAAATTAAACAATATTTAAAGGCTCCTTTTTTTTTTAAAAAAAATATATAATTCTAATAATTACAGATAGTACTTATGAAGTAATTTTGTGACATGCTTTATACATCTGCAAAGTTAAACGTGTTTAAAAAAATATATATATTTTAAGGTGCTTTTATAATTATTTATTAAGTTTTATTCTCATAGATGGCGTAATAGCTTTAGTTTGCGGTAAATTTAATTAAGCTCATGCTACCACAGGCAACTCCGGGAATCGAACCTTGTACCTTTTGATCCGTAACCTGACAGCCCAACTAGCTGCATCACTATTACTAACTATAAATGCCAAAAATAAGCCATTAATATAGCTCCAAGGAAATCACACTCCCGGGACACCATTTATGAGCCACCGATGTTGCAATCCTCGAAATACTTTAATTAATGCATTTGCGATGCATTAGAATACGTTGAAAGTTCGAAAGTGTGAAAAAAATTTCGATATTTTTGATTATCGTATAAGAAAAGGGTGACACACCGAACATTTGTTACTGAAAAAAACCTCCCTTGTACTAACTCTGTACGTTGTAAGTCATTTAATAATTTCCGGCAATGTTAAAAGAAATTTTAAGATTACGTTCAATCAAAATTACTGTCATGGATGATACAATGATACTGTACATTGGAAGTCATAAAATAATTTCCGGAATAGTTAAAGGAAAATTTAAGATTACTTTCAATCAAAATTGCTGTCATGGATGATACAATGATACTGTACGTTGTAAGTCATAAAATAATTTCCGGCATAGTTAAAGGAAAATTTAAGATTACTTTCAATCAAAATTACTGTTATGGATGATACAATGATACTGTACGTTGTAACTCATGAAATAATTTCCGGCAATGTTAAAGTAAATTTTAAGATTACTTTCAAACAAAATTACTGTCATGGATAATACAATGATACTGTACGTTGTAAGTCATAAAATAATTTCCGGCAATGTTAAAGTAAATTTTAAGATTACTTTCAATCAAAATTACTGTCATGGATGATACAATGATACTGTACGTTGTAAGTCATAAAATAATTTCCGGCAATGTTAAAGTAAATTTTAAGATTACTTTCAATCAAAATTACTGTCATGGATGATGCAATGATACAGCTTGAAGATAGTTACTTACTTGCCAAGAAACATGAATAGTATTTGATGATGAAGCAACAGCATGAACAGCAGTCGGTACACCTTCAGGGGCTTAAAAAATTACAATATTTATTATTTTCCTATTGAAATATAATAGGAGAAATTAACAGGGAACCAAATAAATAAAATAATTCATTTTGTTATTGAATTATTATATAGTTACTTAAGAAGCAAAAAACAATGCAACTAATTCATTTTACTTAGGATGAAATAACAGGATAGCTTAAATAAACAATAAATAAATGCAATGAATTAATATTTTTTTCTTTATGTATAATGGAGTTATTTAACAAAGGACAAAATGCTACGAATTCGTCATTTGCTAAAAGGAAGTATAAGATAATTGCTTAACAAAGAAACTAAAAATTACAATGAATTCATTTTTTTTTATTGAAGTATGATAGATTTACTAACAAAGAAACAAAAAATGTTACGAATTCATTATTTTCCAAAATTAAGTGTTTTAGAATAACTTAACAAGGAAGCATATGAATATAATGAAAAAAAGTTTGAAAATATTAAGATATTGTTGTTAAAATGAAACAGAGTGTAAATTCCAGAAGCAAACCTCAAGTAAATTTTTGCTTAAGACACTTGCCAGAGATGATCATTCCCTTACATAAAAATTGTAGACATTCACCTCACTTGGTCTTTGGGTAAATTGTTTCATTTACTTCTCAGGTATTGCAGAAAAACTCAAGCTTATTATGATAAGCACTTCTCATGAATTTGAGGCAATTTTATTAGTTAATTCCCCTAATACAATGACACATGACTTACTATTTTAGAATAGCATTGCTCGTTGAAAACCACAGAGCTCTTAGTCTGCATATTAAACAAGACTGTTACTTTGTTTGCAAATTTAACAAAGATATTAGTTATTTTGTAGAAAACATGGATTATCTTGTCTCCGGATACAACTTGTTTTAAATATCTATTTTTCAGGTATTGCAGAAAAAGTTGAGCTAAATATAATAAGCACTTTTCTTGAATTTGTGGCAATTTAAATAGAAATAATTCTCCAAATTTAATGACACGTGAATTGTTATAGAATATCACTACACGTTGAAAACCACAGAGCTCTTAGTCTGCATATTAAACAAGACTGTTACTTATTTTGCAGAATAAATGGATTATCTTGTCCCAGGATGCACTTCATTAAACATCTATTTCTCAGGTATTGCAGAAAAAAAATAAGGTAATTATATAAAAAAAAATGTGCATAATATTTTTGAATAAAATTGTTCTAATATACTATTACGTAATTGTTGCTTTTGCCCTTTGTTACAAACTTGTTAGGCTATATCATTTTTATTAAAATTTTAAAAAAATTTATAATAATCTTGAAATTTTACTTCTTACGTACAAAATTTTAAATGTCACATGTCTAACAAAAATATTTAATTAGCTTTTTTTTAAAAATTTAGAAGTCTCTTATGATTTTATAAAATGCCTTATTTAATAGATTGATAATTATTAGAAATATTAACTATTTTAGTTATTTATAAAATTGTTGTGTATAAATATAATTTCTTTATGTTTAAATATTATCTTTTTAATTTGATATGTGAAAACTAATAATTTCGGTGTTTAACGTAAATTTTATTCAAATTCTAATAAGATAGATTGACGTAACGATTACTTTAATTTTAAAATTAAGTGTGGAAAACACAAGTAAATGATTATAGATGGGATATTTTTAGTAATTTCTTATTGAAATATTAAATTCGTTAATAAAGAAATTCAGATAATTCAGATTTTATTTTCAATGAATGTAAGTTAAAACAAAGCAATGCCTGTGAAGATAAAAAGCTCTGCTGTAAGAAACTAAATAAAATAAGTCATAGAATTTAAAAATCAATTTCATTCCAAGTAATAATGTCATTTAAAACGAAGAATTAAAAATAAAATCTTGACAAGAAAACTACTGAGAGATATCAAGACGTTTAAAGAGTCTTTTTTATAATTAGAAACTATTCTTAAATGACTTAATAAGATATTTGATGTCACACGAAACTTTCATTTAAAATCTCTCTCTTTCGTTTTAGTTTTATTTCTCTAACAATTGATATTATAAAACAATTGTAACGATTTTAGTTTAAATGATTTGTTGTCATTAGCATTTGCTAACGTTTTATAAATCCATTAAAATTAATAATTTTCTAGAAGTTTTAGCGAAATAAACTTTAAAGCAAATGAAGCTTTTTATGTAAAATTTCAGTGATATAAAATTTCAAATCTTTTAATTGATGAAAGATTCGAAAACTATTGCATATAAATAAATAGAAAAAAACGTTATTTCAATGAAAATAGTATTTGTTTTGAAATAAAATGAAATTAGTATTTTTATTTTATTTATGTTTACAATATTTCAGTGTGAGCGTCAGGTATAATTAAAGTTCAAATGTGTATTAAAAATAAAATTGAACTTGCTATTTTTGCATCTTATATAAGTATAATGCATAAAAAGATTTAACTTGAATAACTGTTTTTTGAACTATCGTTTTTTCACTGACTAAGTATATGACTTAAATTTAAAGGTGTGAGCCCAAATATGCCAATTAAGAAGGGCAGACGATATTTTAAATTAAAAAACAGCAACTAAAATTTACTTTTTCTTCCTCTGAATAAGCTTAATTCTTTTCGATAGATTCGGTTATTTTGCCATCAAAATATTTGTGACACCTGCAATCTAGGTAAGATGGTTTCAACAATTAAGTCCAAAGTTTAGGACCCATATTGTTAATTTCAGTTTATTTTACACAAAGTCATGTCAAAGACAGTTGCATTTTTAAATTTTCATTTTTCAAAAACTATTTAACCGATTACAATCAAATTTTAAAATTTTTCATTTAAATTTCCATAGTCAAAAATTATGTACAAATTTGTGTAGTTACCTTATAATCCCCAAAACTTTTTTCACCATTATTAAAATAAATAATGAAGGATTATAAATAATTATGAAAATTACTTCAAGCAGAAATATTTTTTAGAGAAAAGGATGTTATAACTATGCTCAAAAATATTTGTATTCGTTTTAAACTTTCCAAAATATAGCTAAGACTCACAAAAATAGATTTTGATAACAAGGGACTAAGAGTTCTGCTCGTTAAACGCATTTTTGCAAATTGTGATTCCCCTTAGCATATTTTAAGAACCAAATTCCAAGTCCGAAATAAAGAGGTATATTAATTAGAAGAAAGTCCTATTCGTTCCTGATTTCGCATTTTGCACTCTTAAAAATTTAAATAGCAGATTTGATCTCACCCTTTAAACTCAGTAAGATTATCTTTCAGTTTATGAAAATTCAGTCATTAAAATGAAAGTTATTCAGGGTGGTGATATATTTAATATTTTTCTTTCGGGAAATTTCTGTTTATTTTAATAATTATAGCCTAAGAAATTGACGAAAAAAAATACTTGAATAGTTTAAAAAATAATTCCATAAAGCAACATGACATTCCTTTTTGAGGTTAATGCAGTTAAAATAGTTTAAATAAATATGAGTATAATGGAAAATGTCTTAATTTAATTTAAATACCCAGTTTGTTAGTGATATTTTTTATAAGAATAAATTCTATTTATTCAAATCATCCAAATTAAAAGTTTATTTATTTAGTTATCATTAATATGACATTTCCAATTATTTTTAGCTTAATTCTTTACAAAAATAAATAATTATAACAAAAAAAACTTAAATTAGTTGATTGACAATAATTTTATTTCTTAGTTATTCTATCAACGATGCTTAAAATAAATTTTATACATGAATCAATCAATTAAGGATGTTTTTACTATTAATTACACATAGGTTTTTACAGTTTGTTACGTATTATTAGAAAATAAAATAACGTATTAAAGTAATTAGTTTATTAGCGAAAGAAAATAGATTTACTAATTGTCCATTTTTATTAAATAAATATCTATTTGTTGTGTTCTAAAAGTCATCATCAGCAAGTTTTTACAGATATATACAGCTTGAAATAAAGTTTACAAAAATGGGCATACCAATATAAGAAAGTTGACACATTTAATTTTCTCTTATAAATATAATCTTAAATTCTTCTATGACTGTTGTTAATTTTTTAAAGAATAACTATTTAATAGTTCGTGGATTCGATCCCAGCTTTCCAAAGACTCCCCGTGTAGTAAATGGTTAATGGCACGTTAAATCTGTCGAGTCGCAAAGTCCTCCATGAACTGATCCAGGAGTTTCTTTGTCTTCTGGATTCGTTCAAAATTACAAGACTGCGGAGTTGAACTTTAGTAGTCGTAAACCCAAAAATTGGACCAGCTTTTCAACGACGAATATAAATTAAATTAAAAAAAATATATATAAAATGAAAAAATAATAACTAATGAATACAAGTAAATTCAAAATATAATATCCATTTGCTTTTGGTACATTTTATTATACTATTATTTATTTGAAAATATTTTAAAAGTTAAATTTGTCTTTAAAAGGCTACCACGGATGGTACGAATTTATAATTGTGGTTCTAAATTTACTTTGTAGGAATTTAGAGTTTTGAAACTTACTTTATTGTTTAAAGTTCTAAATACTAAGACATCATTTGACAAGCTACATCTATAAATTACCTATCCACCCCGACCCCGAGGTTCAGGACATAACCCGTAACGATTATGCTTAGTTTTTAAATAAGTAATTAAAAGTAAGCACATTATTCCTCATCGAGTGGTTAAATTTTCAATGATATTTGAAATTGCGTATTTTCGCTGCGTACATCTTCCAAAACACGCATTTTGAGCTATGCTCATTTTCGTAATCCCATATTTTGAGGTTTATCCATTGTTATGTGCACGTATTTCGATCTGTTTCCATTTTCATAAACACGTATTTCAAGCTGTGTCCGTTTTCATAAACAAGCATTTCGAGCTGTGTCCATTTTCGTAAACACGCATTTCGAGTTGTGTCAATTTTCGCAAACACGCTTTTCGAGTTGTGTAAAGATTTAAAAACTCACCGGTGACATGCTGCCTAATTCTAGAGGGTAGTTTTTGGATTATTTCGGTTTAAAAATCGGATTTGACTAATTAAATTAAAAAAAATGATTTTATGAGAGTAAATATAGATAAAGATTTTGAAGTAGTTGCTATATTGTGTCACTTTTTATGCCTATTGTTATTCTTCCAAATTGAAGCGGTCAATGCTCAAAAGGGTACGTATCTGTATCATTAAAAAACGGTACGTGTACATACTGTACGGTACAAATCTGTACTTTCGAGAAAAATCAAAGAGAAAAAAAAACTGTGGCAATTTTTGGAAAGATTGTTTTAATTGCTTCCAAACTTTTGGATTCTATTCAATAGGCAATCTAGAAAATTACTCGGTATATGATAATTGGTGATTGATATTTCAAAACCAACAAAAAACTTATTTCGTATTTTATAGTTGAAGTGGTCAATGTTGAAAGGGGGTGTGCAACATTTTTACGAAAATAACTGTACATAACATGTCATTATTTTATTTTAAAAGAGCTAAATTAATAAACTAATATAACAGAGTGTTTAAGAAACAATTTTTTTCCCATTCGCTCCTCTTAAATATCGAAACATCCACAATCTTCTGCTTAAAAACACTAAAATCTGAATACTAAAATTTATGAAAAAGTGCTTAACGTCAATAATTTTGAAGTTAGAGCTTTTAATTCCCTTAATATTTCATCACTTAATTTTTAGAGAGCTAAATTAATAAACTCTTAAAATAGACAATTTTAAAAAAAATGTATTTCCATTTGCTTAATTCTTTCTCTTTCTATAAAAGTACATACAACGATACTTGTATGCATTTTAATGGATTGTATGTTTTTGTATTATGAGGTTTTGTCTTATTATATGTATTTTGTCTTATTTTTATGTATTTTTATGGAACGAGTTCTTTCCATAAAAATACATACAACTGTCATTGTATATTCATGGATTGTATGTTTTTGTATTGTGCTTTTTTGCTTTATGGATTGTATGGATTGAATGTTTTTATGTATTTTTATGGAACGAGTTCTTTCCATAAAAAATTCATACAACGATAGTTGTATGTGTTTTTATGAATTGTATGTTTTTGTATTGTGAGGTTCTGCTTTATGGATTGTATGGATTGAATGCTTTTTTGTATTTTTATGGAACGAGTTCTTTCCATAAAAATACATAACAACGATATTGAAATAATAATGATTTCGTGAAACAGTGTTTAATCTCTATAAATTTAAATTTTAAGTATTCATTCCCTTAACACTTATTTATTTTATTTTTAAAGAGAGAAATTAATTAACTAATAAAAAAGAGAATATTTTAAAATCAACTTCTTTTCATTCGCCATTTTCTTTAAATACATAAGCACCCGCCAGTTCCCTTTCTAAAAATACACACAACGATACCTAAATAATAATGTTTCAGTGAAAGAACTTTTGGTTAAAGAAAGCTGCACGTAGTTGGCAAAAAATATCTCTTGAGCACTATTCAAAATAGAAATATTCTTCTCACCTTCCTCTGCTGTGGTGATGTGCACTGCTTGGCTGGGTTCACTCCATCCAATACCATTCTCAGCCATTACCCTCACGTGGTAACTGGTAACAGGCCTTAAACCTCTCAAAATGGCGGAAGTTTCCCGGCCAGAAATGGTGGATGTCCTATCATTGTCTCCCCAAGTCTCTGCAGTAAATGGTACACGTGATGTTGAATGTTAATGGGAAGATCGTGCATGCGGAATAAAACTTTCAGTATCGAAAGGAAAGTTACTTGAATATTTACCAGAGGAGAGCTTGTGCTGCACTTTGTAGGACACTATAGGGCTGTTACCAGAGTATGGAGCTGCCCATCGAATCGTGATTGTACGGCTCCCGATTTCCGTAGCCAGGATGTTTCCTGGACTGTCTGGAGCTTCTGTAAATAAAGTTAGTTATGTGTGGTATAGTTTTTCGAGTTTATTAAGTTTGAATAGAGCGAGTGATGGTTAGTTTCTGCTTATGGTTTATTTTATCTATAATTTATGCAAGAAAGTGGTCTGTCTTCTACACTGCTGAAAAAATCAAATCACGGTAAAATAACTCCTTATTAAATTATGGTAAAAAGAATCATTACTCAGGATGCTGGTACTTTTAATTGTAAAATCCATTTCTCCCGGGACATTTTACGGAGCAAGGAATTTCAAATACCATAATTTTTACAATAATAACTACCGTAAAATCACTCGAATTAGATAAATATTACTGTGAAAATTACGGTACAATATTTTGTGGTAAAAATGGATTTTGCGAATGCTGCACCCGATGGGTTGGTACTTCATACCGCACTTTAATCTGGATTTTTTACAGTATATGCAAATTATATCATAATGTAGTAATAACATGGAAAGAAATTTGTGGTAAAGTTACCGCGTTGTGTGGCATTTTCATTTCAAGTAAAAACAAACCATAATTAGTAAAACTGAAAATATACTTTATTTAAGCCATTCATTTGTTAATTTTTCTATCGTATATTCGGGTATTCAAAACTTCATGTCTTATAAACACATATTTAGTAAAAAATACAAAACTGAAAAATAAATTTAACTGAATAAAGATTTTTATGTTATCCGCGAATACAGGTTTTTATGCATGGCATTATAACAAAATTACTACATTTTAGTACGTTTACCAAATTTCATTATATATTATTAAACCATATTTTATTGTTAATTTTATCGAAATCATAACCAAAGTGCTTCGGTAAAAATTACCGAGTTTTTTGTGTTCTCATAGAGCCAAAACATGCTAAATATCACCCTATTCTGGTAATTTTAAACACATTTTTTTTCTCGGTGAAAGTTGAGGCAACGCGGAAACGATCGACGATTAGTTTGCGGAAGCTGAAATTTAGGATTGCATTATTAGATGCATTATTAATTTTGGAAATTGTGTACTGTAACTCGAAACTTTTAGCATGTCTTATTTCAATTATTTAAAGCGCATTGGCTCAATTTATGCTGTTTACGACTCTTTAATATAAATTTAAAAAATCTTTTATCAGTTACCGAAAAGTTATTGTAAAATAGAATTTTTTTTTCCGTTTTCCAAAAAAAAGAAAAAAAAAAGAATAATTTAAAGAAAAATTTAAACTTTAGTAATTGAAAAATAAAAATTAGAATACATCATACATCAGTAATACATCAATAATATTAAATTTTATACTTATTGTGCAAAAGGTAGTGGAATCATAAATATTCAAAAGTTTTTGTTAATAAAAATAAGAACAGGTATACGTTATAAACAGTAATTTAGACCTAAGATGGGCTGTTGTGTTCCTTTATTTTAATAATAATTAAATTATTTTAATAAATAGTTAAGTAATTCTCAGTGCTTTATCATTCACTAGTTGAGAGTTATTTTGATCTTAATACTTTCAGTGTTATTAGTAAAATCTTAGCTCTTATTCGTTCATGATTTGCCATTTTGCATTTAAATATCAAAATTAATTATCTAAGTAAAATTCTGAATTCGAGCTAAATAAACTTTAATATATTTCTTAAAAAATGTTCTATTTAAACATTTGCACACGTTTTGATACTCTTTTGAAGATTACCATCCAGGAACTACTGTGTGATGTCGTTCATCACACATTCTCTCCCTTTGCCTCTTTTATTTTACCAATTACTCAATTAAGCACATTTACTTTGGTAACTTTTGTTACTTGTTAACATTTTTATCAGTTAAGTTTATCTCTCTAAGTAAGCTATAAGCTAGTTCTCTCATCTTGATATCTTCCTCTTTTATGCTTTGAATGCTTCTAGAATGTTTCAGAACAGTTACCTTCTGATGAAATTTTAATGGATATATCAGTATAATGTTATTTGATAATCTTGTTCTAAAAGATTGTTTCCGGGATTTTAAAAGGTTGCGACTCTCAGCCAATATGATTTTTATGTTCGTCTGATAAATAAAATGAGGATATTTCCGTATCGTGATCTATCTCGCCAACTACACTCAACAAGGTGCCAAATAGGTTTTAAACTTTCAAATTTTGTTTAAAAAAGCATGTAGATGTTTGTCCGGTGGTGGCTACGAGTTATACCTTTCAAGTTGATCCCTTTCCGTGATGTTTTTTTTTAGTTTCTCGCTGGCCACTGCCGGAAGTTTTCAAGACTTGGCGATTATTCTGCCACAGATCACGATACGGAAATCTCCCCAATAAAATAAAGAAAGAAGATTGAAATGAAAAGAATCAAAGTCATTTTGTGGTTTATTTCTGCATATTTCCACATTCTGTGATTCAGGTAATTCTTCATACTGATTTAGACGAAAAGAAGGGCAATTTTAATGTCATTTTTAATGTTTCCAAATTACTACACTATACACTAGCGACATTTTTAGTTGGTGCGATAGAATTCTGGTTGTCTGACCGTATGAGGTAAAAGCAGTTAATAAACCGTTTTTCTCGCAGTTAACATTTTATAATATAACAATTAAGTAAGTAAAGTAAGTAAGTAAGTAAAATAACAATTAAGTAAGATGTTATTTACTCAGTTTTTCCGAGAAATTTCAAACAGTGCTCAGTTTGGGAAGCTTTCGCAAATTACCATCAGAAAGTACTTTTTTATAAGAAAGCAATAGCTTATTAAAAAGGCTATTTTTATGTCATTTTTGCCACTTTAATGGTTTTCAGTCCCAACACACTAGTGGCATTTAATGCAGACTGTGCGTTGATCTTACTTGCGGGGTGAGTATTCATTAAAATTTTAGAGTCATATTCCGTCATATTTAACGTTCTATGAACATTTCACATGGTGGTGAATTTTTTTATTGTATTAAAAATAAGCAACGATAAGAATGTTAGCGAAAACAATAACTTCTGTAGTTATTGATAGCAAATGTACGTCACAAAACAAAACATATGAAATAAAGAAGATCTAAGGCTATAAGTAACTAAATATTTAATGTCAACAATAATTTAAATAATATTATTTTAAAAATATTGTCAATAAAGTTAACGATTATTATTTAGAATTTAGTAATATTTAGAAATTCATAGAATGTTAGAGAAATTACTTTAATGTAGCACAAATAGTAATAGCAACATAAATTTTTTAAAAATAAAATGCTTTATTTTCAAACACATTGCTATTAGATATAAATGAACGAGAACTTTCAAACAAGACTTTAAAAGTTTCGGATTTAATCATTTGGGAAATGTTTCAAAGATGAATTCGGTGCCTTTCTATGAATAATTTTAGATTATAATTTTCCTTTCTTGATACATTGTGAGTTATGGGCTCAGCTTAGAAATATTTCAATAATTTTGAACTCCTAAGGGGATATGACTTGGGAATTAATGGGAAAGCTTATTCTTGAAAAATCTACATTTTATTTAGCTGATATTAAGGGCGATTTAAAAATATCATTTGAAATATAATTTATATCATTTATTTACTTTTATTTTTTTATTTTGTTTAGAATAGATGACGCACTTATATTTGAAACAGCAATTAAAATTTTACTGAAGGAAAAATAAATCATTATTTAGTTAATCACTATTTAATTACGTTTAAATGAAATATTTCAGTCTAACTATAACTTTGTTATGGGAAACAACCAATTTATATGTCTTAAAACTTTATCGTTTTTGTTTTATGCTGTAGAAAGAAACAAAAAATCATGTATGCAAATAACTATTTTTATTTTGCATTCGTACTTTATTAAACATTCAAATAAACATAATTAGCGCGAGATTTTAAACCGTATCTTTAGTTTCATTGCATAGTTAACAGCATTTATTTACACTGAGAAAAAATTTGGTCAAAACTGCCGGAAAATTTACTACGCTTCTGGCTCCATAGGAACACCAAAAAGAGCTTTGGCAATTATTTAGGTAAAATTAACAATAAAATATAGTCTTATAGTTTGTGATAAAATTTGGTAAATATAGTAAAATTTGATGATTTTATCATGATACCTTAGAGCATAGCATAAAAATCATTTATTCGGTTAAATTTGCTTTTAAGTTTTATATTTTTTACTAAAAGTGTGGTAATACGAGCAGAAAGTTTCAAAATCAGAATTTTCGGTAAACTGTGTTCTTCCGTTTCCCCGGCTACCATGCGAAAGGAAGAATTACCAAATGAATGGTTTAAATAAATGGTTTTACTGTTCAAACCAATGCAATTTTACCAGGTTTTAAGGACGATATTTTTGGTAACTTGACAATTTTATAAACCAAATAATTAGCAGAGACAATTCTTTCATTATGTAGGAAAAAAATGGCATTATTTTAAACATATTCCAGAATTTAATAATAAGAATATAACTGTCTTTTAGTGTAGGAGACAATTGTCTACTCTTTCGCTAGATCTAGAGACATTTTAATCTACCGAAAATCCTCCATACAAATCTTGCAAATTGTACCCGGCTTAGGATACATCATTTAATGACAAAAAACTCTTTTATTTATTTTGAGACATTTTTAAAAGCATTATTAAAAAGCATTTTTAAAAAGAATACGGCAATATCCTTTGCACTTGAAAGTCACCCCTAACATTTAGAAAGGAAGAGAAAACTCCCATACCTTGGACAATAAGTTGTAAATTGGTATCATCTTGTCCATACGCATTTGTCGCTACGCATGTAAAAAGTGCCGAATCTCTTCTATCTACAGAATGAATGGATATTTTTGATATTAGGCTATCCTTTCTACTCTCAGTTGTCATCTCATATCTATAAAAATTAAAATAAAACAAATCATAAGTATATTTTGTTGCTAAGTGTGTTGATAATTTTCGAAAATGTCTGTTTTTCATTTTCAGAAATACAAAAAATACTTATTAGATTTTATATATTTTTTCGATTATTTAAAACATACTAATACAACACAGCAACGACATAAGTCACACATTAATGGAGTCATACATTCTAGTATAACAAATAAAATAAACCACTTTATAAATTTCTGCAATTACTGAATTTAAATTTTAAAAAAAAATGTACAAAGAAGAAAATATAAAATAGTAAGCGAGAGCAATACACAACTAAACAAGTATTAAATTAGTACTTGGATACCTGCAAGTGACATCATTGTAGGTAAATCATGGTATTTATCGATTCAGAAGCCAATCATGTTTGACACACACACATGTTCCTTTGTCCTTAGGTATCCAATAAAATCTGATTTAAATCACATGGTAAGGCATAATTACTTCACTTCTTCTTGAATTGCAAGTACTCAATTAGGAGATATGCAAATTTTGAAATTTTGTTTCTTAAGTTCTGCAAAATATCTGTGCATTCGTGCAAAAATAAGTGTGCAAATTTAAAGTTTCCAGGAATATTTACCAATTACATACATTTTGATTTTATAAAGAAGTAGCTGAAAATATTTAGTTTAATAAGAAGACAAACTAGTTTAGTAAAATAGCTTTGAAAAATAGTAATCAAGTTTGTGCTTAGAGTATTTTGGTTTTGCTTTTCTTGTCTTATTCGTTTGAGTTTTGAGGGTTTGCATACTTGTAAGTGATTCACGAATTGATGAAATATTTAACGGTTTTTTCTGACATGTGATTGCTGGAATAAGAAATTATCTGGAATTTTTGTAGAAATTTTATGTTTAGATCGCTTTATTTTCAAATGAAACAATTTTTTTGCAATTGGGTAGTCTTTTCCAATCTTATTTAATTATTTTTGTACATAAAAAAATAAAGTATAACTTATAAAATTTAAAGGAAGAAACACAAACTTTTTGAAAAAAGAAACTGCGCATTCCTCTCTTTTCACATTTTTTCAGTTGTCATCGCATTAAAAAAAGAAAAAAAAGAAAGATTTTGAAAACAATAAAATTCGCGGTAATAGCAAGTTAAAACAAATCGGATGCATCAAAAAAGTTGTATCAAATGGACGTTTTGAGATTCGTATATTGCAATAAATAATGTAGTCTTAAAAATAGCAAGCATTTAAGCAACGCTAAAATCATTAATTATAACTGCCGAAAAATTGATAAAAAAACGATAGAATTATCGCCTTAAAAAGCAAATTCTCAGATGCGCAATTCGACTTTTCAGTATGATAATATCGTGAAGAATTTATCGAAAAAAATCATGTGAAAATTAATATCAATAACTGCCCAGAAAACAATCTAAATTCCGCAAATTCAGCGCATCATAAAATGATTACTATGATGCGCGATTCGTATTTCGCGTGTCGTAATAATATCGGGGTTTTAAAAATCATGAGAAAATCAATTTCAATTACTGCGAAAAAGAAGATCAGAGCATGGCATAGATTTACAATGCGTTGTAACAAGTGCATTGAAACGTGATTACTCAAATGCGGAATCCGAAATTTCCGAAAAAAATATAAATGATATTTCAAAATTATGCACGAGTGCTGTTACTAGTGATGATCAATTAATATCTTTCTTTAATTTAAGGAATAAATTAAATGCATTATAATAAATAATTAAACTAATTTTACTATTGATTCAACTTGTATTTGTTCTCAAACGTTTTTAAATTTAGTTTAAAAGAAAAAAACATTAATCCTTACGAGTCGGTAGTTCTAAAAAAAATATATATATATATAATAAAAAACAAAGATTGATACGTTTTCTCTTCAAACGAAAGGAAATTCTTAACAATATTAAATTGAACGTAATCTATCTTTAATGTAAGGAATAAATAAAATGCATTATAATCAAAAATAGAACGCGCTTTACCATAAAATATTCAACTTGTAATTTTTTTTGCAAACGTTTTAAAATTTAGTTAAAAAAAACATTTATCCCTATGAATTGGTAATTCTACAAAAACGAAATATTATAAAAAATAAGTATTGATAAATTTTTTCTTCAAACAAAAGGAAATTTTTAGCAATATTAAATTGTACGTAATCTATCTTTAATTTAAGGAATAAATAAAAGGAATAGTAATAAGAAATTGAACGAGTTTTATTATAAAATATTCAACTAGCATTTTTTTAAAAACGTTTTCAAATTTAGTTTAGAAAAAAAACGCATAATCCTTATGAATTGGTAATTCTGAAAAAATTAAATATAAAAAATAAGTATTCATAAATTTTTTCTTCAAACAAAAGGAAATTTTTAGCAATATTAAATTGAACGTGATCCTTTTATATAAAGTAAAATTTTTTTATCACTTTATAATTGGAAAAAAGAAGTTTTAATTTAAAAGAAAAATAGAGATGTTCTTTTTGATGAAATCTTTTATAATGCTGTTTTAAAATGAAAATAAAGAAGTAAAAGCTGGCTATTGTTCTCACCTGGGATCTGAGGCAGGATCAAAAGGTTGTCTGTCCTTACTCCAAAGTATTGTGATAGGGCTTTCGCCAAAGGCTTCACAAAATAGAACACTGCTTTCACCTTTTTTCAAAGTTTGAGCAACAAACTTTCCTTTGAAATAGGCAGCAACTGAAAGATAAAGCATCAAGAAAAAATTTTGAAAAGATATCTATAGACAATCGTCAATCACAAAAAACTAAAGAAATAAAGAAAAAAAAAAACTTTTTTTATATAAAAAATGATATCTTGATTTGAGTTAAAAGAAATTGAGAAACTTTTTATTGGAAATTTTTTATTTTAAAACTCCCGAAAAGAAAATCAATTTAGTTTGATTTCGTCTTGATAACTTATTATTCTTTGTAATAATTTCAATATATATTTTGAAACAATTTTAGCTTACTCTTTTATTATCAATTCACAATAAAGAATGAGTTTTAATGCAATATAACGTGGTTAATTATATAAGTTCAAAATGAAGAGAAAACATGGAAAAAATTACAGAACAATGAAAAAAGGGGAGAAAAAGAAAAATAATAATAAAAATAAATATAATAAGAATCCCCAGAAAAAATCCGGAAAAAAGGGGAAAAATTAATAAAAATCCGGAAAATGAAATATATTATCTTTTCAATCAGCTCACACGATTATATCCGTAAAAAGGAGTGCTTTCTAATATTGTATCAATATAGCCAAAGCAAAATATGTCAATACAAAAGTGTGAGGAGCACTCAAAAAAAATTTTTTTTAAAAAGTTTACAACAAATAGAACACAATAAATAGAACACATTAAGAAAATATTACGTAAAAACATAAAATAAAATATAAAGAAAAAACAGAACTAAACATGAAACGAAATCTCTAAAGCGAGTAGCGAATTCAAATGAGCTTACATGAATGGGAAATTTTTCACGAAGGATATAAAATATTTTCGTAACAAAATTGCAATTTTGCAAAATATGAAACCAAAATCGCAAATTGACGTAAAAGCGTAACTAGAGGAGTTTTGTATTACAGTGCGTTCTTACTGCAGAACTGAAGTGCGTTTGATTTGTTAGTTATATATATATTTTTTTTCTTTCTTTTTCTTATTGCTATGTTTTTCATCACAATCGCTATTAGTTCACATCTTTCGGCAATAACGTATTTGTGCATGATCTAACACTTAAAATTTTTTTGCTTACTGTCTCAGTATTCAGCCTGAGAGAGAACAAATCTTACAAATTAATACATGTTCTGGAAAAATTCCTTTATTTAATTACATATTTCATCAATTAATTCTGCGTTAATGCACAAAAATGTTATTTCAACATTAAAATTATACACATTAAAAGAAAGTTAACGAATAAACAAACAAAAGTGTTTATAAATTAAACTTATGATGCAGTTAAATTCATGAATAAGCAACAACCTGATGAAGAAGACGTCCTTTCCAACGTGGGTAGTCACATTCTATATACTGTGTTTTAAATGTTAAGTCTTTATACTTTTAGAGTTGCTTCCATTTCAGAAAAAACGGCTTCTTAAAAATGATTACTCAAAAACATTTTTTTTCAAAATTCTTTATAAAGCTTTTTTTACTTGCATATTTCTTATATAAATCTGTTCTTAATTTTTCAACTGCTTTTTTTTAATTCATCAAACAATTGGCACAAAAAATTACCATGTTAAATTATTGTTCATTTTGTGTTTCATAGTTATGATTTATATTTACACTGTGAAACCTCAAAAAAAACTGAGAACTCGTAAAGAGAAAAAAAAATTGAAATAGCAATGAAAAAATCCGTAATGACAAAACTGAAGATTTTCTATGAAGTAGTTCATTAGGAATCAAAAATGTTTACGTGTTTATGACCTGTGGAGAGAAAAGAAAACTGCACAAGAATGTTTTATTTAATTTATAAAAGAAGTTAAATAAAGAAAACCCTTTAATTTGAAAAAAAAAATTATAAATTAAATCACGCATAACTTCGGACCAAAAAAGAGGCAATAAGAGAAAGCACAAAATCCCAGTCGAGTCTCAAACGAAAAATGAGCCATTCAACCTAAACCTTAATATTTGCATAAATATATTGATTTTTTTAGATATGTTCCGATTTTTGTAATTTGTTACTAAAGCCTTACTGATGTTTTAAAAATAATTTCTTTTCCAGTTATTATATTACTATTAAGCACATAAAAATATTACTAAGTATGTTTATACAGCTATGTACCCGTAAATAAAGATAAAACAAACATTTATACTTGAATTAAGTATAAGTTTACCGTGAACAGTAAGCTCAATAACTTTACTAAGTCCAGATCCAATGCCATTGGTTGCTTGGCAGAGATAGTAGCCAGCATCATTTTGTTCCGATTCTCGAATCATTAAAGATCCATTTTCTAATGCATGAATGTGGGAATTACTAATGATTGTCTTGTAATCTCTAGAACCAGTGACTGAAAGCAGATAGAGTTAGGAAATAAACAGTTATCAACAAAGTTGAAGACTATGATTTGAAATTAATTTAAACAAAATATCTTTATTTTAAATAATTTTTTATTACAGAAATATGAGAACAGATTAATAAAGGAAATAATACACAAAAAGAAAAACAAATAATATATATTGATGCACCGTAAAAAAATATCTGGTCCTAACAATACTATTACCTTTCTATTCTCATCTGACAAACCGATAACACGTCATGTTTCAAAATAAAGGAAAAAGAATATCCAGATATGTAAGATATCATTAGATATGATTAGAAGGAATTTTTAAGAGTTGACACTGTGTTCACAATAATTAAAAGCTTACTTAAAATTTAAAGTGGCTTATGTATTTGCTTGGAAATTATTATTTTTTAAATTTGTCCTTTAATCTATACTATAAATTTTTATGTTAGTGTTTAAAGTACTAAATTGTAAATATTTTTGATTACCTAGCTGTATTTTAATTTCTAGTTAAATACCAACTTGGAACAAGTATTTTTAGTGGTAGATCAAATTAATATTTTGTATGGAAAATGTGAAATTTTGAAGTGAACTCTTAATCTGAAGTTTTAGAATTGTTTTCAAAAAATCAAAAATTGTTATTTTGCGTTTTAGTAGTCACAAATATTTATTGTATGATATGTTATAATACGTAAGAACAAAAACTTTGATATATTTCAGACTTGTACATTTCAAACTTTGGCTAATCTCTAGTGAACACGGTTTCTAATAAACATAAATTTCAGGTCTATTAGTCAAATAAACTGAGGCTTGACGATTTTATTCCTTCCTTAGCTTTTTCAGTCAGTGTGAGTGATGTAAACTTTTAGCGCAAGATTCATCATTTAGCTATACCTTGCCTACAACTCGGTCAAAAAATTATACAACTTAGTTAAAATTTAATCACTAGGTTAAAATTTATAAGACTTTGTAAAATTCCTAACATAAGGTTGAGTTTGAAGAAACTTGGTTAAAATCAAAACCAAATTAAAACTAAAGTAATGTGGCTGAAATCAATATAACTAGGCAAAAACTGATTAATTTATTAAAATTTGAATTAAATCGAATTATAAAATCCGATGTCTTTGAGATAAATCGTTAAGTTAGGATGTGGTGTGTCTCCAAGGAAAATTGCTAAAGTTCGGAAGTCACAGTTAAAGGACTGTTGTCTTTTAAATTCAAATTTCATATACTGAGTCAGGAAAATATTTTATTGTAAGTGACTCTCTGAAAAAATGGCATCGTGGAGGTGCTTCATTTAAAATTAAATATTTGTGCGTCAAGCGGATGCGCCCAATGATTAGTTTGTTGATAAGTACCTGGGTTTTTCTATTGTAGTTAGTGAATGGTGTAAATGGTTTAATATCTGGTTTGATCTCATGCAATTTGTTGTTTATTTCAGTATTCCAGTTGATCTGTTTGAGATGGGTATGAGAGTCTGCCAATAAATTTCGAATGCCAGGTAAACAGTGTGGTTTATTTGTAAGATTGTGTGCCGTTTCAGCTTTTGAGTCTCTTGTTTCGTTACTCTTAATGCCCATATGTCTAGGAATCCAACCAAATAATTTCGTAGATATTGTTAGTGAATTCAATGTATAACTTTAAAATATGTGGGATAATGGAGTGAGGTTTACAATTAGAATAGCTTTTTCAACCTCATTAATGATTAAATAGAATTTTGGCAGTATTTTTTTTTCAATTACATAAAAATTGTATAGGATTCGAATTAATTTTTCTTAATATTAGACGGATCATATTAATGTGACTTGTAATAAATAAAATCATGTCATCATTTTATAGCATAATTTACTTATCTTATGCTAATCTCATATAGATGTTCGAAATATTATTTTTGTGTGTCTTGAGTTTAGAGTATGCTATGATAATATTATCTTAGCACTTGCAAGTGAAAGAGGAAAATATTAATAGTTTTATAACATTAAAACAGACAAGGAAAGAATATTTGAGATTAAATTTTGATATTACTTAAATTACTTTTATGAAAAAATTACATGGAAATTAATTTTTTTTTTATCTAAGATGAACACTAGTCAAAATAAGAATTCTTCCAAACTGTTTAAATAACTTTTCTGTCCATTCTAAATCTTATTTTCTCAAATTTATTAAAATGCTGTTAAATATGCTTAAATATGCTGTCAAGATCTTTAATATTTTCGTTGGAAATTATTGTTGCTATTTGTTTGTTTTACTGTTAAAAATTTTCTGAAATGGTTAGGCTAACAATTTATTTGCTAATTTACTATATTTAACCAAAATAATAAAAGAAAATTCAAACAGTTAACAGTAAGGGAAAACGCTATTACGTAATATTGTTAAACAATCAGAATTTTATCTGCGCTAACTAGGCCATTTTTATAAAGTCACTTAGTTATTTTTAGCTGGGAACATACCAAAGACGAGAATGTCAATCTGTGAATGCCATAATTGGCTGAAGAGGGGGTTGAATCAACGCCTCCTATAACTGAAAGCCTCCACACGGTTTTTTGTAGGTAGTCCGATCAGACCACTATGAAGTAGTAAAAAAATCACCAAGTAGTGAAAAAATCATTTAATATGATATCTATTAAAAATTAGAAAGTGGTAGCAAATATATGTATAAAAATTTGGTTAATTTATGAATATAATTGGTTTGTCCTATTTACCTGTCAACCACTACAGATTCAATTCTCAAATATATATGATAAATTTCTCTCAAGTACTTTTAAAATAGAATTTGGGTTCATGCACACAAGTGGTTCACCTTTTAAATGATCTGAGCCATCACCTCCTACATTAAGAAGCCTCCACACGGTCTTCTATAAGTAGTCCGCGCAGACTGTTTAAGAAATGAACCAGTTGTGCGCATGAACCCAAAACCTTTTATAAAAGTAATTGAGAGAAATGTATCTTATATATTTGGGAATTGAATCTGTAGTGGTTGACAAGTGAATAAGGCAAACCAATAATATTCATAAATAAAATTAATTTTTAGTCATATATGTGCTACCACTTTCTTATTTTAAATATATTTTGTATTAAATGACTCGTTCGGTAAGTGGATAACCTTCACATTGGTCTGATCGGACTACCTATAAAAAACCGTGTGGAGGCTTTCAGTTATAGGAGGCGTTGGTTGAATCCTAGCTTTGGCACCACAATATTTCTGTCATTCTCTCTCTTCATGTATTCATGGCTCTCTTAGGTGCTTATATGACTCTCTTTCATGCACATATGACTCTCTTTCATGCATCTATGTCAGAGACATAGAGCTGCTTTTTTTGAAAATGTCTAATATCTCCCATATCTCGTGATAGATGGCACTAACAGATAAACTAATTAAACCACATTCCATGATTCATATGACGTAATACAATTCAACCACAACTTAACTATGCCTATTGTCTAATGAAAAGCCTATCATAACTTAATTCCAATGACCAGTTAAATTTTATTTTTATGGTTTTGAAGCAATGCTAGTTGTAAATGGTTACTAAACCATACATTTTGGAATTAATGTGTCTTTAAAATTATAAGTTAAAAACATGGCTTCAAAGTAGAAAAAAATGATCGTTACGGTTAATTGAAAGGACAGACTGTTCCCGTCTATTTTACTGTAATTTTCGAATGCAAAGTCTAACAGCGCATCGAGAGCTTTAATGCTTTGTTAAAAGTTTTTTGTTGTTGTAATGAATGTTTAATACTCACTTTCTGACTTTTCCCACCAAATTCTGGGCTGAGGAAATCCATCTGCTTGGCAGTCAATTATCACATTTTGCCCAACAACAACGGATTTATCCGTTGGTTGGATTTTCCATTGAGGAGGAACTGAAAAAGAAAAGTTATGTGCATTATGAAAAAAGAGTACAAATAATACCGTAAAAATAAGCAATAGTTCATTTAGGGTGATCATATAAAATCGCCGCAAAAAGGAAAAAAAAAACGCTAAATAAGCATGTTTTATAATCGACAATGCCAACCGTCATCTATCAAAAGGTACCTCGTGATTGAATCGAGTTAGCATGTCTTATATACCATTGTCTTATATACCATATTCGTAGTGGTAGTTACGCCACAATACTCCCCCACCAGAATTTTATCAGGGATAGAATTCGATGAACGGATATCACTGGTTGCTGTACTAGTGAAAGACCGGGAGAGAGAGTCATCGTGTTTTTGAGTGCTGAAAGCGAGAGGTGTATTAACTTCACAGTCGTAGTCACTATTGTGTTGCCATTAGCAGTTGACTGTATGCAGGCTGACGTCGTATTTAATCGAGACGAGACTGAGTAGCAACAGCGTGAGGAGGATTGGATAATGTCGCAGTCACAATTAGCAAGTCAACTGTTTAATGTGGTCTATCCATCGAAGTAGGCGTTACCGTCAAGTTATTTTGCGAAGTGGGCTTTACTGCGTGTACAAATCACGTCCGGGTCACCATTGTGGGGGGGGGCGGAGTTATCGACAATGCCAACCGTCATCTATCAAAAGGTACCTCCTGAATGAATCGAGTTAGCATGTCTTATATACCATTGAATTGATGTTTAATATTCGTAGTGGTAGTTACGCCACACAATCATAGAAAAAAATATAGAACAATTATAAATTACTTGTTTGATGTGTTTCTGAACGAGTGGAATGACGTGATACATGCCCAAAACAAAATGTCGTATTCCTGACTTTAGTCTCCCCTATTGAAGTTAGGAGAATAAGATGGCCATTCCCGTCTGATCTGAATGACCCGAAACAATCACACGACTATGAAAGTGCTTAAAAGATCATAGCATGTGCAAAGAAGATTTGATTGTGAGTATTTTTTGTTACCAAAGTAAGAACGATTTATGTGCTGTGATTTTTAAAATATTACAGTTGCTTATTGGGACACTTTTTTTCGGTCACCTTGTACTCACATCTAAATAAATTTATGAATATAAAAAGTGTGGATATTATGAGACAACTAGAGAAATTAAATTCATTTTGATTAACATTTAATAATATTGTTCTGTTTGTTTATAATTTAAACTTTAATGCGACACTTTCTGTGTCCTCAAAACCTTATTTTAATATTTTCTAAGTTGGGTTGAAATTTTTCATTTCAATCTTATTTGACGGAAAAATATTTAAACACAGTTTGATATTTAAATTTATATGGTTCCTCAATGCAGTTAAATAGTGTTCATTTTAAACTCTAGCGAAGTCAGATGGATTTTTGATGGATGGATCATTAATTTTCATTTCACCCCTTTTTCTATAAGCCAAAATTAACCTTCATTTTTATTCATTAATTCAAAACAAAAAAATAAATAAATATGAAACTTTTAATACTTTTGCAGAATAATAATACAAATTTAAATCAACTTAGCTCCAGCATTCTTTCTAAACTACAAATTAATAAATTAATTCAAGAAAACTGCTAGCAATAAATATTAATTAGGGAATACTAACTCTATTGGCAATTGGAGTTAAATTGCGTTATTTGAAATTTGATAGGTTTATTAAGGAAAAACCTTATAATAAGTAAAACTTATCTTAATTTTAACCATAAATTGGAAGTAACCTTAATAGTCGTATTTAACATTTTTATTTATTTTAAAGTTCACAATTTTCAAAGCCTAAGGAGTTTTTTCGTACTATTTAACATTAGAAAATAGTTTTACACTTTAAATAATAGGGTTTTAATTTATTGGATACTTTAAGCAACTGTATCATATCTATAAATACCTAAGGGGCGCATCTATAGGTATAGGACGTATAGGAAACATATCTCTAAATACTTAATCCTTAAATAGGATCAGAAAATTGGTTAAGAAAAGGAAAAATTGTAATTTGGAAAATAATAACTTTATTGTCAATCAAAATTTAATCGCACTGCTTGATTCTATTCATTTAAGTTATATTTCTATTCCTAGTTAATATTTATCTGTTAATTTTCCTCTTATTTGAATTTATCTCTTATTTAACATTTATCTCTTAATTATCGCCTAGTTAACTTTTATCTCCTATTTAATATTTATCTCTCAATCACCTATTAGTTAACTTTTATCTCTCTATTTATCTTTCAGTTAATATTTATTTTTTAACTATCACATAATTTAAAAAAGTTTCACTCATGATCGTAAATAACATTTTATCTTACACTTTTAACGCAGCTCCAAAAAATCAAACTTATTTGATTAATCTTTTACGATTAATACCTAATAATTTTTTTTTNTTCAATGTATAACTTTAGCATATATATGGGATAATAGAGTGAGGATTACAGTTAGAATAGCTTTCTCAACCTCATTAATGATTAAATAGAATTTTGGAAGTATTTTTTTTTCAATTACATGAAAATTGTATAGCTGTCGAATTAATTTTTCTTAATATAAGACGGATCATATTAGTGTGACTTGTAATAAATAAAATCATGTCATCATTTAATAACATAATTTACTTACTTCATTTTGCTAATCTTATTTAGATGTTCGAAATATTATTTTTGTGTGTCTTGAGTTTAGAGTGATTTTAATAAGGATTTTATGCTATGACAATATTATCTTAGCACTTACAAGTGAAAAAGGAAAAGATTAATAGTTAATTTATAACATTAAAGCAAACAAGGAAAGAATATTTGAGATTAAATTTTGATATTACTTAAATTACTTTTATAAGAAAATTACGTAAAAAGTTATTATTTTTTTTATCTAAGATTAACACCAGTCAAAATAAGACTTCTTCCAAATTGTTTAAAGAGCTTCTTCAAATTTCTATCCATTCTAAATCTGATTTTCTCAAATTTATTAAATTGTTGTTAAACATGCCGTCAAATATGATGCCAAGATCTTTAATATTTTCGTTGGAAATTTTTGTTGCTATTTGTTTGCTTTACTGTTGAAAATTTTCTGAAATAGTTTGGCTAACAATTTATTTACTAATTTACTATATTTAATCAAAATAATAAAAAAACTCAAATAGTCAACAGTAAGGAAAAACGTCATTACTTAATATTGTTAAACAATCAGAGTTTTATCTGCACTAACTAGGTAACTTATACAGCTAACAAGCTAACTTTTATAAAGCCATTTAGTTATTTTTAGCTGCGAACGTATCAAAGCCGAGAGGGTCAATCTGTGAATGCCATGATTGGCTGAATCCCAGCTTTGACACCACAATATTTCCTTCATTCTCTCTTCATGCATTCATGACTCTTTTTCATGCATATATGACTCTCTTTCATCCATATATGACTCTTTTTCATGCATATATGACAAAGCCACAGAGCAGCTTAATCAAAAAAGTCTAATATCTCCCATATCTCATGATAGATGGCACTAACAGATAAACTAATTAAACCACATTCCATGGTTCATTTGACATAATACAATTCAACCACAACCTAACTATGCCTATTGTCTAATGAAAAGTCTATCATAACTTAATTCCAATGAACAGTTAAAATGTATTTTTATGGTTTTGAAGCAATGCTAGTTGTAAATGGAATTTATATGTCTTCAACATTACCAGTTAAAAACATGGCTTCAAAGTAAAAAAAAAATCGTTACGGTTCATTGAAAGGACAGACTGTTCCCGTCTATTTTACCGTAATTTCCGAATGCACATCGACAGCTTTAATGCTTTGTTAATAGTTTCTTTTGTTGTAATGAATGTTTGATACTCACTTTCTGACTTTTCCCACCAAATTCTAGGCTGTGGAAATCCATCTGCTTGGCAGTCAACTATCACATTTTGCCCAACAACAACTGATTTATCCGTTGGTTGGATTTTCCATTGAGGAGGAACTGAAAAAGAAAAGTTATATGCATTATAAAAAAAGAGTACAAATAATGTCTTAAAAATAAGCAATAGTTCCTTTAGGGAGAGTGCAGATAAAATCGCCGCAAAAAGAAATAAAAAAAAAACGTTAAATAAGCATGTTTTATTACAACCATAGAAAAAAATATATCAATTCCAAATTAATGAAATTACTTGTTCGATGTGTTCATCAACACGTGGAATGACGTGACACATGTCCAAAACAAATTGACTTCAGTGTCCCCGATTAAAGTTAGGAGAACCCCCGTCTGATTTGAATTACCCGGAACAATCACACAACTCTGAAATTGCTTATAGGATAATAGCATGCGAAAAGAAAATCTAATTGTGAGTATTTTTTGTTACCAAAGTAAGAACGATTTATGTGAAGTGATTTTTAAAATATTACAGTTGCTTAATGGGACACTTTTTTCCGTTATTCACATCTAAAAAATTAATAAATACAATAAGTGTGGAAATTATGTGACAACTAGAGAAATTAAATTTATTTTGATTGACATTTAATAATATTATTCTGTTTTGTTTATAATTTAAACTTTAATGTAACACTTTCTGTATCCTCAAAGCTTAATTTTAACATTTTCTAAGCTGGGTTGAAATTTTTCATTTCAATCTTGTTTAAGGAAAATATTTAGTCTCAGTTTGATATTTAAATTTATATGGTTCTTCAATGCAGTTCAATAGTGTTCATTTTAAATTCTAGCGAAGTCAGATGGATTTTTTAATCGTAATTTACTTTTTACTGTTTAAAATAATTTAAGGATATCATTTCTATTGCAATTAATAATTTAATTTAATTTCACCCCATTTTCTATAAGCCAAAATTAACCTTCATTTTTATTCATTAATTCAAAACAAATAAATAAATAAATATGAAATTTTCAATACCTCTGCAAAATAATAATACAAATTTAAATCAACTTAGCTCCAGCATTCTTCCTAAACCACAAATTAATAAATTAATTCAAGAAAACTGCTAACAATAAATATTAATTAGGAAATACTAACTCTATTGGCAATTGGAGTTAAATTGCGTTCATTGAAATTTGATAGGTTTATTAAACAAAACTTATAATAAGTAAAACTTATCTTAATTTTAACCATAAATTGGAAGTAACCTTAATAGTCGTATTTGAAATTTTTATTTATATTAAAGTTCACAATTTTCAAAGTCTAAGGAGTTTTTTCGTACTATTTAACATTATAAAATAGTTTTACACTTTAAATAATAGGGTTTTAATTTATTGGATACTTCAAGCAACTGTATCATATCTATAAATACCTAAGGGGCGTATCTATAGGTATAGGACGTATAGGAAACATATCTCTAAATACTTAATCCTTAAATAGGATCAGAAAATTGGTTAAGAAAAGGAAAAATTGTAATTTGGAAAATAATAACTTTATTGTCAATCAAAATTTAATCGCACTGCTTGATTCTATTCATTTAAGTTATATTTCTATTCCTAGTTAATATTTATCTGTTAATTTTCCTCTTATTTGAATTTATCTCTTATTTAACATTTATCTCTTAATTATCGCCTAGTTAACTTTTATCTCCTATTTAATATTTATCTCTCAATCACCTATTAGTTAACTTTTATCTCTCTATTTATCTTTCAGTTAATATTTATTTTTTAACTATCACATAATTTAAAAAAGTTTCACTCATGATCGTAAATAACATTTTATCTTACACTTTTAACGCAGCTCCAAAAAATCAAACTTATTTGATTAATCTTTTACGATTAATACCTAATAATTTTTTTTTTCACTTTTTGTGCAGGCTAAAACTGTTATTTATAAAAACAATATAAAATTAAAATGCTATTCGAATGTTGCAAAAATGTTATTCATTGGTAAACGAAATTGTGTTGTATTAATTAGAATCGTATTGATTTATTAAGCTACACTTGTAATTAAATTAACATTATTTTTTTAAAACTTCGCCTTAAATTCAAAGGAATACCCTTGACTTTCTAAATTAAGTCTAGTTAATTAAAATCTTTGAAATATTAAAGATAAGATAATTAAAAAAATAATCATGTTTCTAAGATAATTAAAAAAATAATTAAGAAATATTGGTTTCGTGAACAATATTTAGATTTTTAAACTATAGAATTGTTAAACAATAATTACAATCCCAATTTGTATTCTTTGTCTTTATTACGCTACATTACATTACATTTTAACTTGAAATGAAGAAGGTAGAAAACGTAGAAAAAAAGTACAAAGAGTACAATGGAGGCTCCTTTTAGTCCTTTTAAAATAAATTCTTAAGAGAATTTCTGCAATTTAAATTAATTATTAATCTCTCATTTCACTGGATATCTTAAAAAACTAAATTTTTGTTTCGTTTCTTCATTAGTTTCATGCGTTGGATAAATTTAATTCTTTTTACTAAATAATGACTCATTTTTCAGAATCTATTATCAATTCAGAATCGATTATCTGTTGTCGATCTATGTATTAAATTACAGTTAATAATCTATGTATTAAATTACAGAAAAATACGAATTTGAAAAACAATTGAATAAGTTGAGTTGAATCAATAATTATTTAATTTATTTAAGTGACACTTGTAATCAAAATTAGCATTTTTCTCTTGAAAAGGATTCAAAAGACTAATTTTTCTTGCAAAATCATAATTCCAAAATAGCATTTATATTAGTAATTAACATTTCCACTTATCTCGCACTTAAAACATTTAAAAAAATAAAATTTCTGTATTATCTTTATTATTAAGTTTATGCACAACCTGAAGGTGATGCTTTATAAAACAATGCCATTTACGCACTGAGTATTAAATTATAATTTTAAAAATATGCGGATAAAGTTGCATTAATTTATAAATTATTCAATTTATTTATTAAGCAATACTTGTAACCATACTTAAAATTTTTCTCCTAAACATGGTCTTAAAATAACATTTATGTCTGTGTAATTAAAATTTACACTTATCTCACACTTTAAAACAGTTTTAAAAATTAAACTTTAGTGTTATCGTTATCATTAATTTTATGCGCAAGCAGAAACTGATACTTTATAAAACAATGCTACCCTTTCTACTTCAAACCAAATGAATGTAATTGTACTTACAATTTCTTCCCAATTTAAATGTTTCGTTTTATAACCTAATTGAATGACATTTTGCTTGCCAAATAATTTTCGTAGTTTTAATTAATTATTTATTTTTAATTTAATTGCATTTTTTAAAAATTATACATTTGATTACTTACTTTCAATAGTTTCTTGCACAAGACATATTTAGTTCTTTTAAAAAAATTGTTCTTCATTTTTTTTAGAAACTTAGTTTAATCAATTATTTTTTTTTATTTACGAAATCAATAAACTGGTCAAACGATGAATTAAATTAAGCTTTGAAAAAGAAACGAATTTTATGACAATCGGATTAAGTTGCATTCATTTATTAAATATTTAATTTATTTGTTAAGTGGCATTTGCAATCCATATTAACGTTTTCTTTTAAACACAATCATAAAATAATATTTAAAATTAACTTTTTAACTTATCTCACACTTTAATACAGTTCAAAAAATGAAACTTTAGTGTTATCGTTATCATTAATTTTATGCGCAAGCTAAAACTGATACTTTATGAGACAGTATTACTTTCTCTACTTCAAACTAAGTGAATAGAATTGTACTTACAATTTCTTCCCCAATTAAATGTTTCGTTTTATAACTAAATTGAATGGCATTTCGCTTGCCAAATAATTTTCGTAATTTTAATTAATTATTTATTTTTAATTTCATAAAATTTTTAAAAAATTAAATATTCAATAACTTACTTTTATTAGTTTCTTGCACAAGACATATTTAGTTCTTTTAAAAAAAATGTTGTTCATTTTTTTAGAAACTTAGTTTAATTAATTATTTTTTATTTAGTTACAAAATCAATAAACTGGTCAAACGTATGTATTAAATTAAGCTTTGAAAAATAAAATAATTTTATAACAATCGGATTAAGTTGCATTAATTTATTAAATATATAATTCATTTGTTAAGTGGCATTTGCAATCCTTATTAACGTTTTCTTTTAAACACAATCATAAAATAACATTTAAAATTAACTTTTTAACTTATCTCACACTTTAATACAGTTCAAAAAATGAAACTTTAGTGTTATCGTTATCATTAATTTTATGCGCAAACTAAAGCTGATACTTTGCTGAACAATGTCAAATGATTAATTACCCACGGGTACTTTTATTAGTTTCTTGCACAAGACATATTTAGTTCTTTTAAGAAAATTGTTGTTCATTTTTTTAGAAACTTAGTTTAATCAATTATTCTTTTTTATTTACAAAATCAATAAACTGATAAAACTATGTATTAAATTAAACTTTGAAAAAGAAACGAATTTTATGACAATCGGACTAAGTTGCATTAATTCATTAAATATTTAATTTATTTGCTAAGTGGCATTTGCAATCCTTATTAACGTTTTCTTTTAAACACAATTATAAAATAACATTTAAAATTAACTTTTTAACTTATCTCACACTTTAATACAGTTCAAAAAATGAAACTTTAGTGTTATCGTTATCATTAATTTTATGCGCAAGCTAAAGCTGATACTTTGCTAAACAATGTCACCCTCTCTACTTTAAACAAAATATATGTGGTTGTCACTTACAATTTAAAACTAACTTTTCTTCCTAGTCGAAAACGTTTCGTTTTATAACCTAATTGAATGACGCTTCACTTGCCAAATTGAATCTAGCTTGAAAATTCTTTAAATGTTAAAAAGATTCATAATCTAAGATAATGTGTCAAAGGAAATTTAATTAAAGAAAATTTGAAAGAAAATGTCAAGACTAGTATGATATTCGATTTAAGTCATTTTTCACGCAATACTGCTCTTGTGGAAGTTGAAGTATTTTTGTAACTAAGGATTTGAACCCTTCCAGTTACTGAAGTGGAAAATTGAATAAAATTACTATAGAAAATAAACAAGATAGGTTTTTCGATTTCCCAGAGGTTTAACAAATTTATAAATTTAAACGAAGTATAAATAATAATTAATTACCCACGGGTATGCATTTTTTATTGAATGAGATATGATATTTGTAAAAGGAGGGAAAAATTTATTTGATTTACAAAGTATCTAATTAGAATTTATTAGATTGATAAATATAACATATTTCAAATGTTTTTGAATTTTATTTACATGATTACATTGGGGAACAACTTTTTTGCTGCATTTATACGAATACTTGATCTTGCTTAATTCGAGTGAAAAGATTTCAAACCTGAAATTAGTTTTGCTCCTAAAGCTACAGATTTCTTTTAAATGATATTTTTAGTTTATTTTTGATATGTACTCGTTTTGAAGCGTTATATGTAACAGAGAGTCACGTAATTGCTGCAATAAACTTTTAGGGCACCTCATCGCGATTAAAATTGCGTAGGAACCCATGTCCGCAAATGTCCCCCTACGCTGCTAGGGATGCTTCCCTATTATGACCTGTTAAGAAGTGCACGAAGAAACAGTTCATAATAGCGAAGCGTTCCTATATGTGTATGGTGACATTTCTGGACATGATTCCTGAATTTTATTAGTGGTGGTCACTATTTTAAAATATAAAAATAGCTTGTACGAAAGTTTTCAAGCAAAAAAAAAAAAAAAAAAAAATTCTCCTTAAATGTTAGAGTAGGTATAATAGCAGTTTTTTTGAAATAGGTACTTTATTTTCGTCGCACTAGAGCTGAACAATGGGCTGTTGGAGACTGTCTGAGAAACATTCATGAGGATGATCCGAAGTCATGACCTCGCAATTTTCATCCTCTGTAGAGGGGATGGCTCCCCAGCTTTGGTAGCCTAACTACCTGTGCGCGAAGTCGAGCACTTTATGGTAGAACAGTTTAGCGAGGACTGATATCGCGCACTCTCGGTCTTTACGCAGGCTGATCAAAGTGGTCACCCACCCGCTTACTGACCACAGCCAGTGATGCTTGAATTCTGTGTTCTTCTGTGAACCGTGTCTTTGCGATAAGTCCACTGCGGGAAGTTTTTCAGAAGTGACAGAATCAAACAGTGACAGAAAGATAAAAAGCTTAATATTTATGTTTTACTTAAATGAAATTATAACCCAAAATCACCCTTAAAGTTTCGAAACATCAAACTTTTATAAACAGTTTCTTGAATCGAAGATAAAAACTTAGCAAACCGTTGAAGCGGAACTTGCATCATCAAATGTTAAATTTTTGGCCCAGGTGAAGTAATTTAAATCTGATTTTTTTTGAAAAAAATGACTGGGTAAGAATAATCAGTCAATTTTTAGTTTCTTTTCTGCTTTCATTAATAGAAAATCTAATATAAGTGAAAAGTTTATAAGAAAAGCATTTCAGTTGAAATTTTTTTATTATTATAATATTAAGCTGAAGAAAGTTTAACTTAATAGTCTTCTTATATGTAAACATTTTAATTGAGCTTGGTTTAAATATTTTAAGTTCGTTACTATAAACCAATCACATTGATATATAAAATAGAGAACATTTAAACACAGCTCAGGATTTATTTTTATTTTGTGTATAAAATCGCAATTTCCTCAGATTTCTAAATATTTATTTCAATGTAATACTCAAGCTTGTAGAAAACTCACATTCTTCTTTACAAAAGAAAGCTTCAGGGTTAACAAACGCTGTTGAGGTCTTTATTGAAGTTTTAATTCCTCAGTTGGGAAGGCAATCCGTAAGTGCCTCAATATATCAAGATGAAATGTTATATACTTTCATGTTTGATGTGTATGCAAATTCACTATTGAAGTAGAAATTCAGTTAGTGGAGGGATTCTAATTAATGTTGAGTCAAAGAGGAATTGATGAATAGTTTTAAGTTGAGAATGGAAGTGTAGTTTAGAATCTGAATTTTCGAAATATGTGCTTAAGTTATAAACAGTTTAAAACTTTGAATGAGTTATATCTTTCTAAAACTAAATCGCATGTGATTTATAAGTTGTTAAAGTGTATCGTATTTAAGTGGGAATTTTGAAGTAAAATTCAAAATATGTTAATGAACTATGCTAAGGAATTAAATTAAATCTTCTTGTAAATAAACATTAAAAAAATAATTTTTAATAAGAATAATTTAAATATTTTACTTCCGCTATTATAAACTAATCACAAAAAATATATAATAGTATAGAACATGGATAATATTTCATTTTGTGCACGGAATATTTTAATTTTGTGTTTAAATACACTATTTCCACTCATTTTTAAAAATTTATTTTAATGTAATTTTCAAGTTTGCATATTATGGGTTGTATTGAATTTTGAATGGTATTAACACAGAGAAAAGGTAGGGTCAAAACTACCAGAATATGGTTAAATTACTTTGGGAGCACCAAACCAATTTTACAGTAGCATTTCAGTAATGATTTCGGTACGATTAATTATGAAATATAGTTAAATAGAAAGTGGTAAAATTTGGTAATTGTGGTAACATGTGGTAATTTTATCACGATACCTTAAAGCAGGGTATAAAAAATATTCAGTTAAATTTAATTTTTAGTTTCGTATTTTTTGCGTGGTAATTAGAGCTATCACTTTAAAAGGCATATTTTATATTTTTTGGTAAACTGTTACCATGTGAAATTTGAAAATGACCAAATGACTGGTTTAAATACCATTTATTTTGGTTTTATTAACCAGAAATATGAATATTACATTGTAAGTTCAGACTATTCACTAATTCTAAGTTGACCGAATAAGCTACCGAGTTCTAAGCTAAGACTATGAGAATGCATTTTAATTTAAGTCGAACTAAGTATCGACTCAAGATAAACACTAAAAATTTCAAAAGTAATGTATATTTATTTTATTTTTACATAACTTGACACACTTGAAAAATTGTTTTAAAATCATTAATTGGAGCATAAATAAAGAGTAAGGAATAACATGTTTTGTTTCACGCGTTAGGTTGGATTTGACATTCAAAACGCTCGAACTAAGTTTTCTCAAAAGAATGCATTTTAATTTTCGCAGACAATACAACAATACAAAATATCAATTAATTTTTTTCATGTTTTAACAGAGAATTAATACATTGTTGCATGCATGAGGATTTCAATTATGTCTATTATGTTTGATTAATTAAGTGATAAAGTTAGATACTTAAAAAATGCTTTTATTAATCTATTAAAATTTGGAGAATATTTGTTGCATTTCCACGGGCATCAAGTCATGTATTTTCTCTTTTTCCCTCATTCCCTTATGATTGCTCTCAAAAATGTAAATACTGTTGAATTATGCAAGGAAATTGTAGCAAAAATTGTCTTTTAAACATTTTTCTCCTTTAGAACATTTTTGAAGTTTCAAGCTTGAAACTCAACATTTTAGAAATCACTCTTCCTTTCGTATTTTTTCTTTTTATATAATAAGCTATTTTTTTTTTACTATTTCTCTTATAAAAGATAAAATTGATTTAATTTTTAAGCGCAAATTAGTAAATCTTGTTGCAAATTCTGTAAGAAAACATTGTACTAATTTTTAAGCATAAATTATTGCAAAAAATTATATGTATTCCATTGAGAATTTCTAACTGCAGTGTCAGATTTACACATGAAAGGAGATAATTTTGGGTGAGCATAATTCAAGTTTAGTTGTGAATTTGGTTCTGAGGAAATTTTTCGTACAATTAATCTGGTAGCTCTGGTAAAGGTTTTTATTTTAACATTGTGAACCATTTTAAAAGTTTGAATGAAGTGAAAATTGTGATTGAAGTGAAAATGTATTCCTACTATGATTCCTGCTACTAAATGTATTCCTACTACTAAATGTATTCCTACTACTAAATGTTCTAGTATACACATTTCAAGTTTTTTAATTTAAATAAAACTTTCGTGCATAAAATTTTTTATTTTTTTATTTTTATAAATAAAGCGAATATAAAAATGCTTCCATTAAAATGATTTTTAATTTTCAGAAAGTTTTCACCCAAAATAATTTGATAAACCAAGATTTTTTTTTTAATTATGTGAACTAGGACGGGGACTTGGTAGTGCACTGGTCCCATGTCCAAGAGTTCCTGTGTTTGATATCCGCCTTCCGAAGACTCCCCGTGTAGTGAACGGTGACTGATGCACGTTAAATCTGTCGAGTCTCAAAGTCCTCTATGTTCCCATAACAAATTATACCTCTGGGGGTACTGATCCAGGAGTTTCCTTGTCTTCTGGATGGGCTCAAAATTACAAGGCTACGGAGTTGAACATTATTAGTCGTACTGATCAATGAGTTTCCTTGTCTTCTAGATTGGTTCAAAATTACAAGGCTACGGAGTTGAACATTAGTAGTCGTAAACCCAAAATCGGGTCGGCTGTTCTACGACTGTTATAAAATAAAATAAAATTAAGTGAACTACTTAAAATGTAGTTAAGTAAAAATCCTTTTTAATTTCCATAAAAGATCTAATTTGAGAAACAAATAATACTGAGAAAACAATTAAAAAAAACAATTAAAAAAACAATTTAAAAAAAACAACAGTGATTATTTTAACTATAGTAAAAAAAAAACAAAGATTGTATTCTTACCATTAACAACCATCGGTGCAGTAAAATTTACAACATCAGCTCTATTGGAAGCGACACAAGTGTAATTGCCGTTGTTTTCATATGTAACTCGTTTCATGTATAGTACAGACATGAACTCATTTGTCGAATCAACTCTCATATTAGCGTTGTCTATTATTGGTTGATTATCTTTGTACCAATTTAAATTGATTGGAGTGTCGCCATCCAGTATTGAACATGTAATAATCACTCTGTTTCCTTCTTTTAAATTGTTTGGAAAGTGAAATGGATTGATTACAGGAGCAACTGGAAGAAGTAATATGAATTTAATTATTACATTTTCTAATGATAACTACAGAAACTATTGAAAGAAATAATGCAAATTTAAATATTACATTTAAGATTGACAACTAGGGCAACTGAAATAAATGATATGAATTTAATTATTAGTTTTTTCTTAGATTATTTACAGGTACAACTGTAAGAAATCACATGAATTTGGTTATTACATTTTCTTAGATTGATTACAGGAGCAACTGAAGGAAATAATATGAATTTAATTATTACATATTCTTTGATGAATTATAGAGGCAGCAGAAATAAGTGACATGAATTTAATTATAGGATTTTCTTAGATTGATTACAGTTACAACTGAAAGAAATCATAGGAATTTAATTATTACCTTTTCTTAGGTAGATTACAGGAGCAATTGAAGGAAGTAATATGAATTTAATTATTGCATATTTTTAGATTGATTATAAAGGCAATATAAATAAATGATATGAATTTACTTATTACATTTTCTTAGATTGATTATAGAAGCAACAGAAATAAATAATAGGAATTTAATTTATATATTTACTAAGAAAATAAAGCTACAGTCTAAGAAAATCAGTAATTTATTTCACTGTAAATAGTATGGTAAGATGCAGTTTCTTCAGTGCTCTTCCACCTTTACACTGAATTATACTCAGAAAATGGCTTAGTTTAATTGCAATAGATGGCCTTTATAGCTTTCTAGATGGCACTATGACGTCACGACTAGTATTCTAACATATTGTATTCTATTCGATATTAAAATCATTCGATTTAAAATTATTGAAATCATTTTCGCGTGCATACGCGCTGCCGTGAATATTTTCTATAAATAATGAATTTTCAGTAGAAAATACCGGGTATCGAAGCTCAGTAGCTTTTAAACGTAAATTTTCAGAAATATTTATTTTAATGACTTTTCACGTTCCATCAGTTGGCAGTGGCGTTTCTATTCATATTCGAATCAAGAGTTGCGCTAGAAAGGAATAGTTTAGCTAACACTATGATACTTTCAAAGCGTCTAGATATTTTAGTTATTTTATGAATTAGTTTTTAACTTTGAATGGCAAGACGTTGCTGAACTTTCAACTTTTTTCATAAAAAATTTTCAAACACAATTTTTTGAGTAGTTTTCCCATTTACTTCACGAATATTTTACGAATTTCCCGTTTACTTTGCGAAAACAGTTATGATTAAAATTGCTATTTGAGTATTAATGAGTTCATTAACTGAGTATAGAGCACTTTTGAAGAGAGTGAAAGATGTGAAAGTTCATGAACGAAATGATGCAGTTTATGTGCTTAATAATAATATTTACTATATAAGTTATCAAACTATACTGGAAATTATTCATATCTTTTGAATTTATTATTTTAATTTTAAATGATTTAGAAAATGGAATTTCTTAGTGATCATAAACTGGTTAAATTCTTAAGTTCTTTAAATTCCTTAGTCGTTAATTCTGTGTAGTTAAATTCTTTAGTCATATAAATATCTGAAAAAAGGTTTTACTTTCATATTTTTCTGAGATAACATAGATATCAAGTAATGCCATAAGATCTTCGTATCATGCATCGTAAAATATTCCCTACAGCTGATTTAGTCAGATTATTTCTATAAATGTTTATTATTGTGTGTTTAAATAATGCAATATCTTTTCAAAATGATAAGAGGACTTTGTGAGCTAGATTTATTAAACAATATGTAAATTTGTTAGAAGATAAAAAAAAAAAGAAAAACAGCTATTTTTAATTGTTTTAATGCTAGTTGAACACAATTGATTTTAAGTCTCGTAGCATAAATAAAAAACTAAATTAAAGTAACTAAATGAACTATGCTGAACTATTTAATTAAAATATAAACTAAACAAAGCTAAATATAACTAAATATACTAATCAAAATTAAGTAATAACTAAATACTGTATTTTACTTTGGAGCACTTTTATGTTTGTCGCTTAATCATGCTTAAATATTCTTAAGTATTAAAACTGAAATTTCAATACTAAAAGAATGAGAAAATGAATAAAATTATTTAATTATATAAGCGTTAAATTATTTCATGAAGTAAATGAAAACTAGTAAAAATAACGTAATTCAATAGTTTAATTAACTCATAGCCTTAAAATGTTCTCGTTACAATTATTTAGAATTAATTAAATTCAGCTACCAGCCAATTACATCCGGAAGCCGACAAAAACATTTTTTTCATCTTTTGAACAAAAGCCTAAAAAAATACAAAATTGATCCTAAAACACGCATTTTTCTTGGTCGAGTGACAAAAAGATAATTAATTGAGTTTTCAAATCGATTAAAACAAAACAAAAAAACAAATCAAGGCTCGACAAAAAACGTAGCGACCCTAACTCTCTGCACAATTTCGTTATCTTTTCACCACATTTTTCTTTGAAGGTCGAGAAACCAATGTCAGGAGAGTACGGAGGGTGGGTCGGGATGTTACTTTTGATTGAAAAATCGACTCACCAAGGACTTTGACTTCTACGTCCCTGAAGGCAGTTTCGCCGTCTTTGTTTTCTGCGATGCATCTGTAACTTCCTTCATCGTTGTTCCGATCCACAGTATTGATGATCAATGTCCCGTTAGGGAAAACCTGCTGTCGTCGATTCTGCGGAAGTTTGCTTTCGCCTGTGGGATACAAAGAACACACATTGGATTTCCGGAAAAGTTTTGGGCATTTTCCCATTCATATGTCTCTTAATTTGACTGGGATGTTCTTATTATATTCTTAACAATTGAAAAACAGCGTCTTTGTTAATGAATTTTTAACACTAAATTAATGAGTTTTCTTAAAATTGAAAAGAAAACATGTTTTTAATAAAATTTAACTATGTGTTTTTTCAAAATTGTGAAAAAAAACACGTTTTTAATAAAAGGTAATTATGTGTTTTTTTTTAAATTGTAAGAAATTCATGTTTAATATAATTTAATTATGTATTTTTTCTTAAATTGTAGGGAAAACATGTTTAATAAAATTTAATTATGAATTTTTTTTGAAATTGAAAAAAAACATGTTTTTAATAAAATTTAATTATGTGCTCTATTAAATTGTAAAGAAAACATGTTTTTAACAAAATTTAATTATGCGTTTTTATTTAAATTGTAAAAAAATCATGTTAAATAAAATTTAATAATGTGTTTTTTTTTAAAATTATAAATAAAACATGTTTCGAATAAAATTTAATGCTGTATTTTTTTTGAAATTGTAAAAAAAAACATGTTTTTAATAAAATATTATTATGTTTTTTTTAAAAATTTGTTTTGTAGAAATTGAAAAGTTTTTCGAATTTTTGATTAAAATATTTTGTATGCGCACAAAAAATATAATTGTATGGCATTAAATGTATTTCTTGGTAACAGTTAAATAACTGTAGGAAAGTTATATCGTAACTTTTTTCTTATCTCTTAAGCCTACGTGTATCTTAATATTACGTAACATCCTAATTAGAAAAACCCACTAAATTAATCATTTAATGCTCAGCGTGCTGTTAAAAATAATTATGTAGTTTCTTGATTAGATTTTTATAAATTATGTAGATTTAATAATGTACTGCAAAATTGTTGTTGAACATTATGTGAAAGTTTGTCTCTATCTTATATAAACTAAGAATACACATTTGTTTTTAAGAAAATGTTTGAGATTTCTCGTATTCTTTGACACTATATTTTATTAAGTTGTCTCAGCAAAAAACATGTATTTTTATATAAATTTCTTTTAAGAATTGATATAAAATTTGTTAAGAAAAGTAGTGCTACAGAAATCATTGTTTTGCTTTTTAACTGAATTTTTCCTTCTTCTATTTTATTTATTTTGAACTTAAACATGAACACATGATTTTAATGAAATGTACTTTTTTTGTTTATCTTCTTGTTTTTTACGGTGTCTTAAGATGCTTAATTAGTTTGTTATTAAATTTTGATTCATGTTACTTCGCCTCAATCAAAGGTTTCTTAAGAAATATTTAAGTACTACATGTTTTATAAGATTTGTGGAGAAATATTCATAGGAGCAATTTTCATAAAATAATGCATTTTTTAAATTAATTTAATAATGAAGGAAAATAATGATGTGAGAAACTTCATTACACACGATATGCATCTTTTGAATATACTCGTTAAACTAGCGTTAGTTAAAAAATATAAATGGAGAAATAAAATAAAGTAAAAAAAACTACGACAAAATTAAATAATAGTGCCTTTACAAATACTTTGCTACTAAATTAATATTGTACTATTTAAGAAATTTTTATTTAACAACTCTATGAAGTGCTAAGCATTTACGTCTGTAATGTGTTACATTGTAGTATTTTGTAAAGGTTTCTATTAATTGCATAGATTTATTTATTGCATATTAAACATACTATTGTTGATTATGAAAAAAATTGTATTTAATGTATTTCACAAAAATCATGCAATGGATTTCCGTCAATGTTTTGAGCTTTGTTTAATTCCTAATTCATCATAGCTGACTAATATAGCCATAACAATAGAAAGAGCAACATTTAGTGTGGAAGAAAGAATTATTGTTTTTCTTTGTATATGAGTTTTCCATAATGGTTGTATACGATGGATGACTGGTTGTATACGATACCAGTCTTTAGAGTTTGTTCTAATTTTTTTCATCAAAACAAAAGTTTATAATGAAGCAAATTTACGATTTTGTTTAATTGTTTTCGCAATAGCTAAAAATAGCTACAATTATATCATTTTACTTTTTTGTTTTTAAACGAAAGCATAATTAAATGCTATTCATTATCAATTTAACTTATTAAGACTTAATCTGCTTTCAAAAGAAAATTTCAATTATACGTTTTCCAAAAAGATGGAAAGAATAAGCATTGTATTAAGTTTCATTAAATGTATATTGAAAAATTAAACTACTGCTTATTTAATTTAATTATCTTGTTAATAATAAAAAATGTTGCTCGATTGAAAAATAAAACAACATAAGTTTTATTTCAATATTAACTATTTTTATCCAATTATATGATAAAGGGCGAATTTCTGATAATAGTTTTTTATTGATTAAATTAAACTGAATTTATATTTTGTTAAAATTTATTGACAGTAAAATATTATTTCATTATAAGAAATATTGTGCAATTTACTTTCCACATATGGAATTGGATGTGCTGTTTTATGCAAGATTTGAAAAACAAAGTTACTTTTTATTAGTTGTATACATTCTTATATTCGATACAAGGCTTTATTTAGAAACTAATTTGTTAGTTGAATAGTCTGCCATCTTCCATTTGCATCGTAATAAGATAAATAACAATTGTGATCAATATCTTTTTTTTAAAACTTTTAATAAAAAATAAAATATGTTTTTATTCACCTTTCTTGTGTATCTATATTTTTCATTACTTAATTTAATATTGTATTAAAACATTACGATACATTATTAATATTGTATCTTTAATAATTGCTGTTACATAATCTATTATTGTATTAAAATATAACGATACATTAATAATGTTGCATTCTTAGTATTTGCGATTACATAATCTATTCTTGCATTAAAATATTATGATATACTATCAATAATGTATCTTTAATATTTACCATTCTTATTTTAGGTAAAAAGGGTGATAATTATTATATGATACTTTGCCTAAAATGTATCGGTATTTTCGATTACATAATCTAATAGTGCGTTAAAACATCACGATACATTATCAATAATGTATCTTTAACATTTACCATTCTTATTTTTGGCAAAAAACGTATATTATATGCATAGTGATGTCAGGGAATGGTATTATGCATGATTGTAGTTTAAATGTGTAGCTAAAACTTTTCTTAAATAGATTTAAGCCACTCAATAATATTTAATAACAATAATAGAACATTGATATTTAAATATATGGCGAAACTCTGAAGAATTTTATAATAATGGAAAATACTGTGTATTGTTAAATACGCATATTCAAATAATGGTTGGAATTATGCGCGGTTAACTAAAATAAAAAGAACTAATAATTAGCTAAAATAAAAACTATTACAAACCTTTCTCCAAAGAATTTTTACTATGGGATGTCCCGAAACCTTTGATTATAACCTGTGAGTGACCTTTATTATCAAAATTCTGAAAAATTTTATAATAAAGGAAAGTACTGTGTATTGTTAGATACGCATATTCAAATAATAGTTAGAATTATGCTCAGTTAATTACAATAAAAAAATAAAAACGAATAATTAACTAAAATTAAAACTATTACAAACCTTTCTCCCAAAAATTGTTTTCTATGGGATATCCCAAAACCTGTGATTATAACCTGTGAGTGACCTTCATTGTAAAATTCCAGAGAATTTTATAATAAAGGAAAGTACTGTGTATTGTTAGATACGCATATTCAAATAATGGTTAGAATTATGCGCGTTTAACTAAAATAAAAAAAAACTAATATTTAACTAAAATAAAAACTATTACAGACCTTACTCCCAAAGAATTTTTTCTATGGGATATCCCAAAACCAGTGATTATAACCTGTGAGTGACCTTCCGTGTAAAATTCTGAAGAATTTTATAATAAAGGAAAATACTGTGTATTGTTAGATACGCATATTCAAATAATGGTTAGAATTATGCGCGGTTAACTAAAATAAAAACTAAAAACTAATAATAAACTAAAATAAAAACTATTACAAACCTTTCTCCCAAAGAATTTTTTCTATGGGATATCCCGAAACCGGACATTTTATCACTAAATTGCTACCCGCAAGGACGGATATGTTTCTCATTGGTTTTACAAATGGCGGTCCATAGACGTTTAGTCTAGCAGAATGTCCTACGGTTGCTATATCATTCGACCCTAAACATTCATACGTTCCTCCATCCTCAGGTTGCAGTCGTGTGATATTTACAAAACTGTTTACGAATCCATCACTGGTGACGAAATCCCCAACTCTTGTACGAATTCCTTCGGTGACAGGGAATCCATCGAGAGACCACGTGATTTGAGGCAGTGGGGTTCCAGTGGCTGTACATTTCAATGACAGGAAGGAACCAGGTTCGAGTGTTTGCTCGGGGAAAGTATAAGCCAATACGGGTGGGTCATCTGAAAAAGTGAAATATATTTTCGTATATTTGCGTGATTATTAAAAGTTTGACAGGGTTAAGAAACGTAAATATTGAAAATTCTATAAGCACGAATCTCATTGAATTTGTCAATTAAAGTTTTGTTGGTCTGTGGGATTAACTGAGCAGCTTTGGGATTATCGTTGAAAAAACAAATTTTTGTACTGATGTATATACCATTGTAAAAAAAGTTCTAGCACACAAATGCTTAATATAAATTCATATTTTGTAGGAATGGCTAATTCTTTAGTCTTAACGTTTCAAAGTACAGTACACTCTCGATTATCTGTGCGCGGATTATCCGGTTTGCGGATTATCCGTGCTCATTCCGAAGTTACAAAAAATATAAAGAGAAACATTTTCAAAATATAAAAAACTTTGATTCATGAAGTTATAACACTACAAAATTTCTGGAAGCAATATTCGTTATTGGATTACAGTATATGGAATATCAGCAGCATGGTCAAGGGTAANATATTAAAAATGAAAAGCAAATTATATTTCCGAAGTAATAATACAAAATAACGCGATTTAATTACAAAATAACGCGAATTAATTACAAAATAACTCAAAAACATGAAATAAAACATAATTTTTGTTTTTTGGTATATTTAGTCCGCCTTTTCAATATGGGCAAAATGGGGCAGGTTTTTTCGAAAGAAGAAACATCAAAGAAGACAACAAAAAAAAGTTTAGCTAATTACCTAGTGGAACTTTTTGGAGATTTAAGTTTCGAAAATTATTCAAACATTTTAAAATGTCAAATGATAAGATATAAATTATAAGTTTGTCAAGAGTATTAACTAATCCAACAAATTAAAAAATTGAACTATAATTTCAGACTAATTACTCTGATAAGAATTTAACAGAAAGGTGAAATTCTTATATATATTTCTGAAATATAAATTGAAAAGTTACATTTAAAAAACATTTTTTCAACATATTTTTCACTACATTGTACTCTCGTCGGTCCAAAAAGTAAATTATAATGTTTGGAATGATTATGAATACTTAATTTGGACGATATTAAAGCTGCCTTAACATATTTTAGTTGAAATTTAATTTTTGACTTTTGGCCAAAGATCATGATCTTCTGGCCCACAGTGGAATGGCTAATTCTTTAGTTTGAACGTTTCAAAGTAGTAATAATTTCAAAATAAAATATTGATTTCTTTATTATTAGTATTGTATGATAAGCAGGAATGTTTTGTTTCTTTTTGATTAATGGTTTGAATGAAATTTTACAGTTATTAGTATTTCTCTTTTTTAAAAAAAAGAAGTTTGTATTAATATTTGCATTTTATAGGTAAAACATTGTTATAAAACTCTGCACGGTAATGAAGGGAGGAAAAGAAATTAACGTGCTGTAGGGTAATGACATTTATAATTATGATGTTAAAACTAATTATAATATTCCATTGTGGTATTTAAACTATTCATTTGGTAGTTTATCCGTTCATATGGGAACAGCTTACAGGAAATTCTGAATTTCAAAAATATATTTTTTCTACTACATATATATTAAGAAATACAGGACTAAAATGTGAATTTTATCAAATATGTAAATAGTTTCTGAGCCATGCTATAAGGTATCATGATAAAATTATCAAATTTTGCCACATTTACTAAATTTTATCACATATAATAAAACCATATTAAATTGTTAACTTAACTAAAACAATTACCAAAGCGATTTTTTCGGTGTTTCTTTAGAGCCTAATGAGCAGTAAATTTCACCATATTCTGGTAGTTTTTGCCATACTTTTTCCCTGTGGGCATTGTTTTATGAATAAAATTTAGAGTTTCTGAAATGTTTCGAAATAGTTAAAAGTTTTCGTTAACCCTTCATAATATTCCATATATATAGGGATTAAACCCTTGAAATACTAGGCTCAAAAAAAAAAATAAAACTTAAATTACTAACTTAAGGGTAAAAAGGTTGATCATATTGCCTTTTAAGAGACTATAGTGTTAAGGACAGAAAGCTGCTTAAAATATAAAATATATTTATGTTATCACACAATGAACATTTATTAAGAAGAATAGAATCTAAATTCTACTATGTTTACCAGTATTTTATTTAAAACAAAATTTCAAGTGTGTAAAAAGAAATATAAAAAGAATAATAATTGTCATGCTTTATTTTCGTTTTGTTGCTAATATCTCTGGCAATGAAGACATGAAATAACGCATGAAGGTTTGATGATTACTAAATAGAATATGATGTTTTTTCCTTTGTTTTGATAGCTTTTTTTGTAATCAGAATGAGTTTAATTGAACAAATTGCAATACGTAAAATTTATTAAGTAGATAATTTTCTAAAACAAAATTTTAATTAAGATTTCCCAGAAATTCGTTTTAGCATCAATTTTTTTAAACACAAATTGTTGTACTCATTACAATATGCTCAACTGGTGTAAAAATAAACCCACTCAGTTCACAAAAAGTAAGATTTTTTTTACTAGATAGATTTTTTTTTGCTTTGTTAGTTTAACAAATCTCTGAAAACTGAAAAAACAAAACCTTTTATAGATTATACTTCACAAATTAAATAACACGTGATAATATTGATACACGTGTGGTGATAAATGGATACTGAATAATACCGGACAAATATAGGTTTATTTTCTTGACGCCTGTTGATATACCTGCTGATAATGCATCTCATTTACAGGAAATAGGCTTTTAAAATCATATTTCTCAGAAATTAGTCTTAGCATTCATTTTTATTAACACAAACTTTTATACACATTACAATAGGCTCAGCTGGGGTCAAAATAAACCCACTCAGTCCATAAAAAGTAAGATTTTTTTTGATATGTTGATTTTTTTTGTTTTGTTAGTTTAACTAATCTCTGAAAACTGAAAAAAACAAAACCTTTTATAGATTATACTTCACTCAAATTAAATAACACTCAATAATACTGAAATCAAATGAATACTGAATAATACCAAATAAATACTGGTTTATTTTGGTGACACCTGTTGATATACCCGCTGATAATGCATTTCGTTTACAGGAAATAGGTTTTTAAAATCATATTTATGCTTTAAGCATCGTATTAATTTTATTAGAAAATAAAAGTTAATGAAATTTTAAATACAAATAGATTTTACTTTTAAAATAATTATCCTTCATGATAGGCTTATAGTTAATTTTAAATTCCATGTGTTTATTAAACTCCTCATTTTGTCTGCCTACTCTTCGGATGCATAAAGATTAAACTAACTACTTATCTCAAATGTCGATATGCATTAACTTTGAGTTTTAAATGGACTTAAACCTAATCTGTTAATTTCAGATATAATGGAGTTTATCATCTAACCAGTTTAATAATACTTTTATTTAATTATTTAAGTAAATGCTTATTGTTATTTAAACAGAAAGGAAAAAAATTAAATAGCTCAATCAAGTATTTTTATAAGTTTTTTTCATTGTTATTTTCTTTAAGAAAATATTTCTTTATTGATTTAAAAAGGACTTAAATTACTATTTTTGTTTTAAACCTTCATAGATATGGTGAATGCATTTTTCAGTTTAATAGCTTTTAAAATCGAGTATGCAAATGAATTTTAATCTGTTCTTTCATGTATTTAAAGATATCATTGATATTTATTGATATTCTTATTGCAAGTTAGAATTATAAATATGAAAGTTGAGAAAGATAAATAAAAAAATGAAAAAAAAACTATTCAGTCAATTTAATGATACGAATATTAATGTCAAATAATGATGTGCTGCGAAATATACAGGATATAAGTATTAATTATGATTCTGTATACAAGTTACGATAACTTACACACTCAAGTATAATACTGTTTTAGGTAATTTGTTCAAAAAAGGCATGCATTGTTCTTTGTATAGCATATTTATCTTCATTATTTCTATTTTCTCAAATTATAAATCAACTATTATTTAAGCAATTGAAAAAAGTTCTAAAAAAATTAAAAAGGATACATAAATAATGCAGACTAAGTACTTTTACTTCAAATTGTTTAATTTCAAGCAATAATAACTGCAATAATTTTTTCTTTCTAAAGCTTTTTATTTTATTTTTTGCAGCAGTTATGGAATTGCTAATATTTTGTGAGATAGGTGTTCTATGGTAAAAATATGTTTATAACAAACGTATTTAAACATATGTCTTTTGCAAATAGAATTTTGTTATTAATATTAATTACATTTTCTCCCTTTCATTATCGTTCCATTATTTCATGATATTTGACATTTACAAAGTGTTGCTAAAATATTTTACTAATTCACTATATCTAACATTTAGGCATCAGATATAATTTATTGCACAATTTTTACAACAGTAGTTCATTGCCTATTTATCTTTTACATATAATCTTGATTAATTTTGGCCTATAATATCTGATTGTTTGCATAATACTATATCTATTGCATAATAATAATGTTGAAATATTTTACACATGTCTCTATCATAACTTAAAAGAGGTAATAGCTATAGTGTTTTACGTAAGAATTAATAATTAAATTATTTTTCATTACTCTTTAAAGCTTATTACTTTGACTTAATAAAATTTATAGAGAAAGTTTCTTTACATCTAAATTTAAGAGCAAATATGTCGCGATGCTTTTGTGCAAACAATATATGCTATATAAAATTCAATTTTCCAATAGATAGAAATATCTGAATTTTACAAGCCTTTACTGTAAAACAGTCCGGATCAAATTACGGTAAAAAGTACCAGCACTCAAGATGCATGCACTTTTTACCACAAAATCCGTTTTTATCATGACATGTTATGAAAGAAAAAATGCCATATACCGTCATTTTTTAGTAATAACTACTGTAAAATCACTGAATCAATCTAATTAAATAAACACCTTAAGACTAAAATAAACCTCACGATAGAATATACCTCGTTTTTCAAATAATACTTAAATTTCCTAAATTTGCAATATTATTAATATGCAGTTGAATACCATGGTGGTATCTATTTTCTCTATTTTCCATTTTATGTGCACAATGTAATTTATATCAGAAGGCATGTCATATGTATTAACTATCTACGATGTATAGACTAAAATCATTTGGCAATAAATAAATATGGTTCTTATTCTAACATTTCTGAAATTTAATTAAATTGTTATCAAAAGCTTTGCGACTGTATTTTTTTTAATATGATTGTACTTTCCAATTAAGTTAGGCTAATATTTTTTTGGAATTTGTTTCATGGATACAATTAAGCGTTTTAAACTGAAGTTGTTAAACTAGAAAACTCGAAATTAAATATTTTAAATGCAAAAATGAAGAGATTAATTTTTGCAAAGCATAGTAAACTGTTCCTCTGTATATTCTGTATAAAAATATTTAAAAATATGAATGGATGCAAATTAGTGTAATTTACTATGATTTCTTACAATCCAATTTCTACTGGCCATTTCAGAGAGTTACAAATGATTGAAAACATTTTTGAGTGGAATAAATTCCTGTACTCCTAGCAAATTTATTTAAAAGATTATTCATATTAGTTTAATTAAAATAACAAAATCATTTAATTAAAATGGTTTTTATTTAAAGGAATATGGAAATATAGAATATAGAAATATAGAAAATAGAAATATAGAAATATGGAATATAGAAATATAGAAATATAGAATATAGAAATATAGAATATAGAAATATAGAATATAGAAATATAAAATATAGAAATGTAGAATATAGAAATATAGAATATAGAAATACAGAATATAGAAATATAGAATATAGAAAATAGAAATATGGAAATATAGAATATGGAAATAAAGAATATGGAAATATAGAATATAAAAATATAGAATATAGAAATATAGAATATAGAAATATAGAATATAGAAATATAGAATATAGAAATATAGAATATAGAATGCAGAAATAGAAATCGAAATAGAATATAGAAATATAGAATATAGAATGCAGAAATAGAAATCGAAATAGAATATAGAAATATAGAACATAGTGAAATACAGAATTTATTGAAAAATAGAACAATAATGTAAAGAAATTATTGATTTTTTTTTCATTTTTCTTATAAAAGTATAGTTAGGTTTGGATAACCGACATCCACGAGTAATTAATTACTTGAGTATCATAGAAAGTGTTGCAAATTTTATAATTAGAAGTAGTTTTGTATAGTGGTATTTGGCAATCGTGTCATCTAGATCCCTCAAGGATTTCTTCATTATGAAACATAAATGCGGGTTAATTTCTTTAAAAGTTCCTTACAAAAGTCAGTTTGTCCCAATAGAACGTTCTGTGGCCTCTGTTTTATACGAATTCTGCTATCGTTTTGCAATGACCACAGTGACGTAAAATATCCTGACTAGGACTGGGCGATATTAGAAATTATATATCGTGATATATCGTCAGTTTTGCATCGCGATATAGCGATGTATCGCGATATAGTATTTTTGAATTTCATTTACTTTAAGGCACAGAAAGTCAGATTTCTATCAAGACTTCATACGCATATTGATTTAAATCAATTTATAAATTTGAAAATATATATGTTTTGCTAAAGAAAGATATTAAATAAATTGACTAAGATGTACAAATCTTACTTAAAATATTTA